TCTGGAGATTCCGGCCTTTAATTTAATACCAAGTTTGTAATATATTACAATTATATCTTCTCTATAATCTAAGGCTGAAAATGTACAAGTTTTCAGCCAATTCTGAAGGTCACCAAAAAGCTGTTTATTTTAAGAGTTAAGTTTTTCACCTATAACTATACTACAACGTTTTTTTATAATGTGTTTTTCACCTTTGCCTACATCCATTGAGACACAAGGAAAATAAAAATAATGCAAAATAACTGGAAACGGAGTTTCTTCTTCTTCCTTGAGATATTTTTCCATGAAATATAGGAGGATAAAAATGTCAACAAACTTATGTCACTTTCAATTATTTTTCTCTAACAGGTTGGCAATGCTAAATAGACAAATATTGCCAAACAGCTGATACTACAGGTCATTGTTGTGTTTATTATTGTGTCGCTCACGTTCTGAAGGTAGTTTTATTAGGAAAACATGTACAAATTTGGCCGTCACACCGGGGCTAACATGGTGCCAGGTCTGGGGGTTTTATTTTTTTTCTGATTCGAGAGAATGAAGATTAAATTCTAAAAATGGCATAGCGGTTACACAGTTCCTCCGAGTGACTTGGGTGGATATAAACCAAAAGCTGTTGATTGGACCATTTTTATACTGTGCCAAAAGACAGATAAAGATAGTTGGCTTTGTCCTGCAAATAATAAAAATGTAAACGCTCGTAGCACCAGATATGTAACGCTTTCAAAAACTTTCAGAACTTTGATGATATAAATGGTTTTCCCGCCGATGTTGATATAAATGGAATGGAATGAATCAGAATGATGAATCAGAAAAATTAAAATCAGAAATAAGTCAATTAATACAATAGTTTAATTGAGAGTGACATCAAACTGAAATCTGGAGAAACCAATCATTTCAAGTCAAATATGTTGCTAAGGTACAAGCACTTTACAGTACATTTGGGGAGCTGAACCGCCCATAAGAGCCCATGTTAAATTCTCCAAGTTTAGGTACATTTTTCTCAGAAACTATTTAACCTACAGCTTCAGAAATTGTAGACAGTTAATATATGTGCTTTAAGAGTGTGTTGAACTAGAATTATGTTTCTATGGTAACAAATTTCATTTTTTTTATATTTTTGAAAAATTCTAATTTTTTTAGACAAAAAATATATTTTTTTAATTTTTGTAATTTTTACTATTGATCCTATGGTGATAATTCTAGTTCCACATATTTGTAGTGATGTAAGGTACACTTGGTAAAAATTTCATCAAGATATCTTTATTACTTCTTGATAAAAATGTACCTTTATCATTAAAAAAACAAGTTTTCGGAAAGTCGCGAACTAAGATGACATAAAGCCTTACTAGGTCTACTCACTGTGCTCAGAAAATTTGGTGCTTTACTTTTTTTTGTAGTTTTGGGAGGTGATACCTATTAATATATATATATTTTCTTTTTCAGGATAAAACAAAGAATCTAAAACTAAAATAAAAAAAAAAAATTTTAATTTAAAAATTTTCGGTTCAGCCTTATTAGGTCTACTCACTATGCTCAGAAAATTTGGTGCTTTACTTTTTTTTTTTTTTTCCAGTTTTGGGAGGTGATACCTATTAATATATATATATTTTCTTTTTCAGGATAAAACAAAGAATCTAAAACTTAAATAAAAAATTTTAGGTTCAGCTCCCCTTAAAGAGCTAGGAATCTCATGTTTCTAAAAATAATGATGCCCTTAATGTCATTGATAGCAGGGTAATTGTAGGCAAACAAGGTAATGTGACAGTTAAATCGGCAGAGTCTATGGTGTTAAGTTATTGAGAACAGGAAAAATTACAGATTTATTCTAGTTCATCTATATATATAAAGCTCAAATACCACTGACTCATTCATTCACTCACTCACTCACTCATCACGAAATCTCAGAAACCATAAGATCTAGGAACCTGAAACTTGGCAGGCATCTTCCTTTTGGGTAGTAGACGCTCACTAAGAAAGGATTTTACCCTCCGACCTCTGCTCTCCGCCCCAGTGGCTCTGGATTTTCCCATGTTAACCTTATGAGAAATGGAATTAATGAATCTTAACAGCTGTTTCAATTAAACAAGTCGGTTCTGTTCTATGATGTTCAATAGCATTAAAGTTACAAGGATTACCAACAGGGTGCAGCACTATTATTTTTTTTTTTATTTATGACAACAGCTAATTTGCAACCAAAAGGTGAGTGAGCGTAGCGAACGAACTTCAACCTGGAGGCGAGTTAGCGTAGCGAACGAGCTAACCTGAAGGCAAGTGAGCGCAGCGAACGAGCTCCAACCTAATGGTGAGTGAGCGTAGCGAACGAGCTCCAACCAGGACGTGATTGCAAGATCATCTTGAAAATTAAGAAGTTAAACGGGGCAAAGCCCGTGGGTTACAGCTAGTATATTATATAGCTGAAGCTATATATGGGAAATTCTATTGCTTTACCATGATCCCAAGCTTTCACAGGCTGCAAAGGTTCCTAATTTCACAGGAAAGTCAAACAAATCAACTTGGAATTCATGGATGCTCTTTAAGAAGCCACTACTGCATTTTCGTTTATATCTCAACCACAAAATGCGGTTCCTAACGAAATTTTGGATTAGTGACAACATCAGTGTTAATGAAGCAAGACAAGAATTGTTCATGACCAAAAATCGCCCAATAGAAAGTCTTCCACCAATAAAAGGTGCATTACTACAGCAAGTATTGCGTAGTGTGCAACATTACTAAACGATTGGGGTTGGTGGTTGCATAATGAATCTTGGCAGTTGAAATGGTCGGAAGTATCAGAAATTTCTGATTCCTGCAAAGAACTCATAAAATGTGTTTGCAAATTCTGAAAACACAAGTGCAGCTGCAGAACTGCTGGTTTATCTTCCACATTATTGTGGAAATGCAAGAATGAATGTGAACAATAATACTCCCGCCACAGCAAACCTGCAGACTAAGTGAATTTCCATTTGTCTGAATTGATTTTTGATTAAATCTATTTAAACAACATTAGGTTTAACGAGTACCTAGGTTTGCTGCTACAAGGAAACTAATAAAGTTAGTTTTTTAGTAAAATATTAATAGCTTGGTATAAAATTAAAAAAAAATTTGCCATTTTTTATCAACATATATCCATAAACAACCAAACTATACAACATTTTACAATATTCTCCATAAGAATAATATGGGAATTTTAAATATAAAATTTTTTAAATTTTCTCTTTTACCAATAACCGTACAAAAACACGTTGATATAGCCTACTAAATTATTTCTATTTTTAAGTTCTTTAATAAGGTATGGATAGAAATTGGAAAATATTATGTTTTTAGGCTCAAAAATTAGAAAACCCAAATTTTACCCTATAAAACCCCGTTCCCATGGTCCGATAATGTTGGTTTGTGAACTCATTTAAGTTTACCCCGCCTTACACCTTTAAACCAAATTTCATCAAATTCGGATAAAAATTACTCAAGTTATCGTGCTCATGGACACACACACACAAATATACAGGGTGATCAACTCAAGGAGACCACCATTGGGATATCGGAAACAGTAAGAATTAGAGAAAACTTTAAATGGGGGACATTCCTTTATTTTTTGTGGCAGTTAAAAATATGATTTTAGTTTTTCAAAATTCAGCCGCCATTTTCCAAAATGGCGGCCAACTTTGAAATTTCTTACGGAACACCCTGTTTTTTATCATGTTTTCGGATAGAACATGCAATTTAAAAACTTTTTTGTTCTTGACATTTTTTCGATAAACCCACTCGTTTAGGAGTTACAGCCTATCGAAAAATGACTTCCGGTGTTCATTTTACATCATGTAGCTCCAAAAAAAGGAGGTTTATAGCGAAAATGCGAAGAGAAAATAAGTCAAAAAAGTCTTAAAATTGCATCCACATTCCTAAAAGTCCATAAAATTCGTTTAAAATATTAATTCTATTATTTAAAAATGGCGGCCATTTTCCAAAATGGCGGCAAACTTGAATAGTGGAAAACTGTGTATTTTATGGTCTTAATAGAATGTGGATGCAATTTTAAGACTTATTTGACTTATTTACTCTTCGCATTTTCGCTATAAACATACTTTTTTGGAGCTACATGATGTAAAATGTACACCGGAAGTCATTTTTCCATAGGCTGTAACTCCTAAACGAGTGGGTTTATCGAAAAACTGTCAAGAACAAAAAAGTTTTTAAATTGCATGTTCTATCCGAAAACATGATAAAAAACAGGGTGTTCCGTAAGAAATTTCAAAGTCGGCCGCCATTTTGGAAAATGGCGGCTGAATTCTGAAAAACTAGAATCATATTTTTAACTGCCACAAAAAATAAAGGAATGTCCCCCATTTAAAGTTTTCTCTAATTCTTACCGTTTCCGATATCCCAATGGTGGCCTCCTTGAGTTGATCACCCTGTATACATCCTACATATATACAAATTTGATCGAATGGTGTTTTTGGCCTCTGGGGACATCAAAATGAAAAAGTAAATCGGTCCCGGGCCTAGGTCTTACCACGAGACCTACGGTAATAGCTACTTCCCTGTAGGGAAATTCGCTAAAAATAGTGTTGGTAGAAATATTCTGCAACTTCTAAAATATAAAGTGTATTTTTGATTTGGGGATATACATTTTCTGTAAATAAATTTACGTTTATTACATTATTACTCAACTTATTTACTTACCATATACCTAAAAACTTAAAAACTGATAAGAAACACCATTTTGCATGATGTATGTCAAAAGAAAATATATATAAAACCCAAAATACGGGCAGCTATTTTGAAAAATCTCTGCCATTTTGGATTATAGCAACTTTGGTCGGTGCCTCCCCATCTTATTTGCATTGCCTAACCTTAAACTACATTCCCACCAAAGTGCATACTCTTATCACAATTTGCAGTTTTGTTATGGGGTTTTTACTTTAGCTCCCTATGCACAAAAATACCCTTCTAAACACTCATTATGAATAATGTACAAACTAAAATAAATAAAAAATAAAATGAAAAATAGAAAACAATTTAACAACAATATAATTTTGAAGTGTTTTGAAGTAATTCTAATAGTGAATCACATAATTAGGTTTGGCAACACAAGGAGTATTTAGAGTTATTGTTCAAATGTTGATGATACCGAATATTTCAGATACTAAGCAGATATTGAATGAAAACTCTCTTTTGAATCATCTTGTCTGGCTTTCATCCGATCTACATTGGCAGTCAGCTCTCGTAGCCGTTTGTCCTTTATTTCCAACAATGCCTCAAGATGGACAACCTATCAATAATTCAGAATTTAAATAATACTATTTTATATATGGTAGCTATTTTAAAATGTGAAGTTATTTAAACAGATTTCCTACATCAACTTTCTGTCCATACTACTGTACTTTACTTTCTACACTACTCTACTACTCAAGTCCCAAAAGTGGAAGAATAATAAGTGGGAACTTATGGACCTTATTTGAGTTTTATTTTTGTTCAGTACTTCAGATCAAATATAACTAAACTTTATATCTCATCAAAAGTCACTTTTTTTATAAACACATTTAAAAATTGTTAAAGTCAAAACTGTATTTCCTTTTAGTTGAATACACCTATATAGTTTGACTTCGTCATCAGAAAAAATTAAATAGCTAAAATGTAAATACCGTAGCTTTGTCAAAATTATGTGGCGGGTTTCCCAAAACAAGCACTTAGTTTGTGAAACCGTAAAAGTAAGCTGAAAACTTAGAAAAGTGTTGTGGGCAGACTACAACAAATCTTTTCCCTAAAACGTTATATCTAATTTAATTTAATTTAACCTGCCTATGAGTGAACATTTTGAAACGTACGTTTTAATGTCCCTGGCCTTTTATTTTGTGGATACTGTATTTGTAGTATATTATTATGTTTTAATATTTTTTGGGGCAACATGTTAAAAACATTTATTTGGTTTTGAATTGGTTCTAGGTTTTTTGTTTTTAAAGTCTCAAAATTCACGACCATCACGTGTCCCTAAGGTACATTCTTCAACTTTCACGCTGTTTTTAGACTATTTACTCATGCTGAAATATATAATGCCATATTTTTATGTCATCAATAGTTATTAAATTTACTAAAAATGAGCATATAATATTTTTTTTATTGCGAAAAGACTACCATGACAAAATAAGTCTGTCCCTTGATTTGACGTCCCGACCATAATGGCAAAATTTGCAACTTTGGAACACGACAGTGGCAAGCCTGGCGGCGATAGCGTCAGTTGGTTTTAGAGACTGGTTCGGGATGTGCGTTAGTTTTGTTGTACCGGTGGTTTTGCAGTAAAAAAATCAAGTAAAAGATTCAAATAGGTAAGTTTGTGCTTTTTGTAATTTTGGTGTGTCCACGATTGTACATAGTAATTTATGAAGTAGACATGGTGTTAATTTTGATATTATATTTTAATTGCTAAGTTAACCTAGAAAAAAAAGAAAAAAATGGAAAGCAAAGAGTAAAGGTGGGCAGGTCACGCACTACGGAGAGAACGGGGTTCACTATTAAACGAAGCAAGTATAGGAAAGCCAGAAGGGAAACGACCATTAGGAAGGCACAAGAAGAGATGGTGGGATAGTGTCTCCAAGGACGTCAGAGAAGTGGGGGCAGCAGTGGAAGAGGCAGAAGATCAAGAGAGATGGAGAGCAGTTGTTGGTGAGGCCAAATCCCACCTTGGGCATAAATGGCCATGGGAGTGAGTGAGTGAGTAAGTTAACCTAGAAATCCACTTTGCCTCATCAAACATGACGTGTAGGGCTGGCACCAGGACAGAGCCAAATAATACGTGATTTCACAACCGGGGCATCTCGACCATCACAAGTTTTTTCACGACCATAATAGCTTTATCGATTGTACTGTGCTATGGTCGTGAAAATAAATTTAAACATCATTGTAAATTGCACAGTTTAGTTTAATTGCAAGACAAATATTTTTTATAACAGTACAATTAATTGAAGGATGTAAAAAAATAGATTTTTCCTACAGTCACCCGACAAAGTTTGCTTCCTTGTACTTTTTATAGTACAGACTGTTAGTAGTAGCTAATTGCTGCATATTTATACTTTGCCGTACGGTTTATACTTTGTCGTACAGTTTATACTGTGCCGCACATCAGGATTCCAACGAAACAACACAAAACAGCGTGGTTCTATTATGCACGTAATCCGTGTACACTTGGAAATAGGTTGGCAACACTTAAAGATAATAATACTATGAGCAGCTGATTGACTATTATAACTACGATTTAATCTGTCATTTCGTGTTTATAGTTTCGGTATTTCTGAACTTTCTGGACTTTTCTTTTAAACATTTTTTAAAACATTCCTACAATCTTAATAAACAAGAAAATACCTTTAAAGCATTTTTTTTAGGCGCGGAAACCACTTCAAATTACAAAAACATACGGAACTATGTCCTTAAAAAGCGGAGCACATTTCTTGCCGAGGAAAAATAGCGGAGGGATACGGACCGCGGGTACTACTTTCTCTAGGGCACCATTTGTTTTGCCAGCTGAACCTAAAAACGTGTTGTATAGTGTTTGAAAGACTAATAATTATTTATATGTTTTATAGTGACTGTAGGAAAAATATAATGTGTAACACGAGTGAAAAAGGCCTTTGCTGCACTCGAGATCATTCCGCACTCGCCCGCAGCTCGTGCGTAAACATTGCTCTCGTGTGCAGCAAAGTGCCACTTTCACCACTAGTTACACAAATAACTATTGAACTATGTTTACATTGACAGGTATTTTTATTACCTTATATGAAGTAACGCTTATATTGAATAAAGTTATATATATAACTATAATGTTTAAAAAATAAATTATGGTTTATCAAGTCTTGTGGAATATTATAAGAATAAGAGTAGTGGGATGAAAATCTAAATAAACAATATAATGATTCTTGTTAATCGCCAACCGATTAATTATTTCCCGACCGTAACATTGTCCCTGACCATAACAGTCATGATTTGGATAATAAAAAAATTCAAAAATTGATATATCATTATATTCCAATGTTTTTTACACACTAGAAGGACGCCTCTATAAAAACATAAACGTATTTCATATATCGGGAACGTTTGTTTGGAGTTATACAAACTTATACAGATTTTTAAACTAAAAAAAAATATTTTGGGGTTTTTTTTAGGAAAATGTTAGTACTATAGTATGAAATAAATAAATTTCATCTAAATACATTCATAAACAAGTAAACTACAGCATTTTTATCATCCCACAAAAGAATAACAAAGGAATTTTAAATAGACCGTTTTTTGGAATTTTCTCGTAACCTTTAATCATAAAACAATGTGTACAAAGTGATTTATTTTTTCAGCTCTACACTATGGGTGAGATTAAAGTTGGGCATTTTCAAACATTAAGGTGGAAATTTAGAAAAAAAAACATATTTTGAAAATTTCAAAAACTCATATCATCCCTTTTTTTAAAAACGTTTTTATTAGCTCGCTTTCTTTTCCGGTACAAATTTTGATATCAATTTTATATTAACTTCCCGACGAGCTAGAGACTTGAAACTTGAAACATAGCTCACAAATGGAAGACAATGCAATATTATATCATTTAATTTTTATATTTCCCTTGGGCTACGCCCCATGGGGCTTTTTTTTATTAAATCGCATTCTTGCAAATTTTGATACTTCTCGATGAGCTAGAGACTTGAAATTTGAAACATAGCTCATAAATGGATGACAATGCAATATTATATCATTTAATTTTCATATTTCCCTTGGGCTACGCCCCTTTGGCTTCCAAATTTTCCATGTTTACATTTTAAAAGAATTTAAACATATAAATTAATTTAAGTCAGCTGTAAATATTTAAATTTGACAGTTAGAAGAGCAGAGGTTAAGAGGTACAGGTTCTGCTCCCGAGATATTCTAAAAATATAAAACAATCATTTCAAAGTAAAGATAAAACATCTGATTACAGATAATAAGGTTTTGGGTTTTGGTTATGTATTAAGAGGCCATATAAAATATGTTTAACATATTTACACATTAAAGACTAAAAATTAGAAAATAATTTACAAATAAAAATACTTTTTAAAAATTCCACGTTTTTAAACGCACTGAAAAGTATAAAATAATTTATAAAATATTGAGAGAATAAATACTTATAAGATTTAAAACGAAAAACGAGGGGCGCATGCAATAGATCATAATAGTTTAATAGGTGAAGTTAATTGTAAATCAGCATGCGCCCCACGTTTTTTGTTTTAAATCTTAGAAGTATTTATTCTCTAAACATTTTATAAATTATTTTATACTTTTTAGTGCGTTTAAAAACGTGGCATTTTTAAAAAGTATTTTTATTTGTAAATTATTATGACCTGACCTTGCTGGTTCGCAAACTTATTCAAGTTTATCCAGCCCTACACATTCATGTAACCCTCAAAATACATTACTGTATAAAAATTTGAACAAATTGTGTATGGTCTGGGGACATCAAACTGAAAAAGTAAATTGGTCCCAGGTCTAGGTTTCTAGGTATGCCGCTTACGGTTATAACTTACTCCATAGGAAATTCACCAAAAGAATTGTTAACACCTTTAAAAAAATACTCTCTATCCAAAAGAAAACTATTTAGAAATTTACTAAATCACCTTTTGGTTCAGTACAGATATTGTTTCATTTTTCAATTGAACTTCATTTTTTAGTTTTTTAATCTCAAGAAACATATCTTCATGATCATTTAGTCCAGAACCATCTCCAAAGTCACCTGGGGATACAGCAATATTATGATATTATTTTCAACCACAAAACAATATAGGTTGATTAAATTGTATTTATAATAAATCAAAATTATGTAGGTAACTTATTATATTTATACTTTTTTATAACATCTTAAAAGGTAAAAGGTGGATCAAGAACTTAGTGTAGTGACTCCAACTGTCTAAAGGTGAACCAAACAGACGGAACAAGAAGTTTTAATACAATGAACATTAGTGTTTTAATTGAAACTTCTTATAGACAAGCCTACAGTAACAAATTCATAAATTATTAGCTTCTTTTGAAATAACAAAAACGAGCTGTTGGCCCGTCCTATGTACGGGAATCGAGTAGTCCATTGAAACTGTATAGTGTTTATAGTGTGTCTATTACTAAGTTTAAGCAGTTCAAAATTTATAGTAAAGAAAAAGCTGCCAAGCTTAATTAAAACATGTGATTATTATTATTTTCCCAACCTTTCCTCAAAAAGTAGAGTAGTAAAATAATTTTCATAAGCTTTGTTTTAAATATTCGTGAACTTCGATTCATATATAGCAATGGTTATAGAATCTTACTTATTTCCTATAATCAATGACAAAATCACAGAGTAAATAAACTAACCTCATAGTTCTATAGAATATTTTTTAATTCAACAAACTAAATATTTTAATGACTGCTCAAAAAAATAAATTAGAACATCTATTATTTTACTATGTAGGTATATTTAAATAATCAATTATCAATCAATTATCAATCATCTCATCATCTTACCGAATAAATGAACGTATCAATGATTATAGCATTACACATAGTATAAATAAGTCAATTCTACGCATATGATTTCATTTTCATCCAAATGTTGGAATTTGTGTTGAAAACACTGAATGTTTACAGCTGTTAAGCAATTGGTTTTATACCAAAAGCTAGAGTAGAATGTTAGGTCGACTGCTAGACTTTTTTTAAATTTAAAACTTAATTTCTATAAAACTGAAACCCTAAACTAAAATTATGGCTTCGACATTCCCTAGTTCTCAAAATTATCTTTCTTTTAATACAAAAATCATGAAAATCCGTCAAGTGGTTGGTTCAAAATCGTGAAATAAAAAAACCCTGTCACGTTTTAACATATAAATGCTAAACTGCATCAGCTAACTGACACATACCATACAGTAGAACCTGGATAACAAGACCCTCGATAAAAAGTGACCCTTGATAACAAGTATGTCAGTTTCTAAAACCCTAGAATTTATTTTACCTATGACCACATCTTATTATTGCAAACCTTGAGAAAATTACAAACTTGAAAACAAGTATTATTTAATAATCCCCATGAGGGTCTTGTTATCAAGGTTCTACTGTACTTTTTCCCATTAGTTTGTTAACAGCTCTTATAATGAAGGGCTGGGTCTATACAAAAATCTATAGATATGATTATTTGGTGGACCCTTTTTTCATACCTGTCCTGGGTCGTTAAAAGGATTGGTGAATTTGCATCTGGAAATGTTGATGACATAAACAATACTTCTCCATAATATACTAAAATTATATATTGGGAGAAAGTAAAAATATATAATCCATAAATTCTCTCAAGTTGATAATGTTTTAATTACATTGAACAAACGTGTTGTGTAAATATTTTATTGTTTTTAACCCTAACCAATTGGTTTTATTGGATTGTTAAATAAAGTTCATGTTATTGTGTCAATCTTTAAACCATATAGCAACAATAACAACTAACCCCAGGCAGTTTTAGTCTGTCCAGAATCAGTTTCGCCCTTCTGCCTTTGCTGGTAGTCTACTTTATTCTTGATTGCCAGCAGTACCGACTCTAGAGCTCCGGGTAATCCTGCTGCTATCTGGTGGATCAGGTCTGTAGTAACTTTGATCTGTAACTTGCTGAAAACCTGTAACAACAAACCAAGCAAAGGCCAAAGTTAAAAAACATTGTAGGAATAAACTTAAGATGAATAGTATTGTAAAGCTGTGGGTTATAGAGACTTTTTCGCAATCCCTTCTCCATCTAACATGAGTTTCCCTTTTGTATGTATGATGAAATATCCCCGCCCCAGCAAACCTGCAGACTAAGTGAATTTCCATTTGCCTGATTGCATTTTCACTTAAATCTATTTAAATAACATTAGGTTTAACAAGTAACTAGGTTTGCTGCTATTAGGAACTAAGGAAGGTAATATATTGTGTTTTTAGTAAAATATATGTTAATAGCTTGCATAAAATAAATAAATTGGCTGAGTTTGATCAAAATATATCCATAAACAAGCAAAATACAGCAGTTTACTATTCTCCTTGAGAAAAACATGGATGGACATTTTTAATTTACAATTTTTTTAATTTCCCGTATAACTAATAGCCGTACAAAAACACTTCAATATTCTAATTATTTTTATTTTTTTTTTAAGATCTTCAAAGTGGTTTGCAGAGAATTTGGGAAATTTTATATTTTGAGGGTCAAAAATAAGAAAACCCTACCCCATTCCCATGACCCGATCTTGCTAGTTCGCGAACTCATTCAAGTTTATCCAGCCCTACACCTTTAAACGGAATTTAATTAAAATTCGCCCAAAATTACTCAAGTTATCGCATTCACACACATATATATATATATATATATATATACATTTGTAACAATTTAAATGGATAGTGTTTTTAGTCTCCGGGGACGTCAAAATTAAAAAGTAACTCGGCCCAGGGCTCGGGTCCTACCTTGCCACCTAACGGTATTAGCTACTTCTCTATACAGGGAAATTCGCTAAAAGTAGATGATTTTCATGTACTCTGGTGCATGTACCAGTAAAGTTTATTGAAATAACAAAGTAAATAACAAAATAAATTTAAAATACCCCAGCCGCAGCAATCCTGCAGATTAGCAAATTTCCATTTGCCTGATTGGATTTACAATAAAATATCTCATTTATTCCCTATCTACGTAGCGTTAGTTTAAAAAGTACTTTTAGGTTTGCTGCAACAGGGAGAGTATAAAGTGTTTTTGTGAAATGTTAATAGTTAAGTATTAAATAAATGTATTATCCAAATTTGATCAAAATATATGTTCATAAAGAGGCAAACTACAAAAGTTTATTCTCCATAAAAATAACATGGGAATTTTTACAATTCAAATTTTTGTAATTTTTTTTTGTAACCATTAGTCGCATGATAACACTTCAACATGTACTAAATTATTTTTATTTTAAGCTCAACAAAATGGTTTTAAAAGAAATTGCAAAACGTTATGTTTTAGGGTCAAAGTTCCCATAGTCAGATCATGCTGGTTCACAAATAACTCATTTGAAATGTAGGTTTACACATTTATACCAAATTTCATCAAAATTGGATCATTTTTGCTCGAGTTATTGTGAACGGACCCATATATATGCATTTGAACGCGGATGGTGGTTTTACCTCTAGGGACCCCAAAACAAAAAAGTAAATCGGTCCCGGTTCCACGTCTTATCATGAGTACTACGGTATTAGCTTATTCCCTATAATATGGGAAATTCGCTAAAATACACCAACAATGTTTATTGAACAGAACATATTTTGCTAGAAAGGTTCTGGTTATTGCTTAGGTAAAACGAGAAAGCCCAACACTAGTTTGTGAATTGTGTTGATACATACTGAATGGTTCTTATTAAATTTGTAACTTTTTTCTGCAAAGTATTGTATACCGGTATCTCAAATAGGCATGGATTTATGTAGTATTTGGCAATACAGATTATCAGATTGTATACAGTTTCGGTCCTGTCAATTAGCCTAAAAGTAAAACTCTGTCAATGTTATGAGATAGAAATATAATGATTTATAACATATTATAGGTAGACCCTTTAAAGCAAAAAGCAACAATCAGGGTCCAGACCTTTACAACTTTCTCTGAAAATATTTATTCTGCACTGTTGGCAAGGGCTATAGCGGAATCCCTGATTTTCATGTGTTAAATATTGCATCATTTCCAGTCAAGATCAATAAGATTTCCCCGTGTCAATCTGCTTATAATGAATATTTGCTATTACAACATTATTCCAAGTTATTTTTAAATTTTACTCTGTATAAAGTGATCAGGTGTGTATATTGTCTTTCAATAGATTCATAAGTTTAGTAAATTAATAGTTGCTCTTAAAATATTATTGCTATGTCAAAATATAACTAAGGTGTTTTCAATAGGCTACCTGTTGTTTTTTGTAATAATTTTACAAGTGATTTGTTGATACCTATACCTATGTTTTTGATACAATTAATCTGGAATAGAAATGAGAAAATCTATAATTATTGTTTGGATTTTATCCTCTCTAAAGAAGATGAATAAACAAAATTTCTTTGTACAAAGTGAATAATATTTTATTTCATACTAATAAAAGATGGAACACCTATGGCCTATGCTATATGAGAGCATAACATGTATTTTTTCTGTTATAACATATATTCTTCTGATTCTGCACATCTACAGGAAAATATCTTTCTAACAGTATGAGTAAATTTCCCTGCGATACGCACGAGCTGAGAAAAAAGGTTTCAAAGAAAAATGCTTTCCTATTAATATACAGGACTAGGGGAAACCCGTCGAAATCGACGGTTACTTTCAAGGCTTACGTTAATTCACCTAACTGCGATAAATTGGGTGAAATATACATATTTTGAACATTTAGCATTGTTTAAAGAGTAATAAGTGTTAAAACAATAATGATATTAATAGCGTTAGTTGCCAAATTTGGTTCATCATTCAATGAATAAAATATTCCCCATACCGTACGTCATCGGTATTATTATTAGTATGTTATATGGTATATCTTCCTTTGGAAGAACGTTTAAATAGTATTAAAATCGTATTGATGGATCTTTTGTAGTTAAACACTTTCGTGATTTCATCAGTGTAATATGATTTTATTTAAAAAGAAAATATTTTTTTGGGAAGACATATTCTAACTTCAAAGGGAGGTATATCCGTTACAGCGTAAGTTTGTTTTTTCCTTCGTCACGTCGCGTCAGTTCATATCGTACTTCTGTGCCAATGAATGAACCCTCTAGCATAGTTTTGAGAAATTATTGATTGTGGGGTTACTGTTAAAGCTGGAATTCCTTGACATGGGGGATGTCAGTTAGTTGTTTCAGCCTTATCAAAACAGCCTTCTATAATAACATAAAGTTGTCAATATAATCTCTCGACGGAATGTTAGGTGTAGAGGAATACTTGAAGTGAAGTTGGCTTTTATTCTTGTACTGTTAGGGGCCTCCTCGTTTATATGGACAGAGTGCGGCTTCATAGGCAACAAATAATATAGCAATGGGACATTTCCAAAAAGCAAAAATACCGTAAATTGGATTTTACGTATATATTGACGTTTACATATTGTTAATCAACGTATCTTATAAAGGATTATGTGATCTAGTTTAAAAGGATTATGACCTTTCTGTCATGACTGTAGCTGCTTAAATAGTATTTTCTCTTTGTACCATCTTTTACAGCCAAAATGTCGTGTTATTTTCAATAATGTTATCAAACCGTTACCAAACCGCCAAAGTCCATAATATAGGTAGGTGCAAATAATTTGTCAAGATGGGTACCATTTTAGACAAAGTTTCTGTTTGGATTTTATTAGACACGATAAGAGCAGATATTTCTACATAAATATTTGATGTGTGTAGAATAATATGATAAAATGTAGGCAAAAGTGGTGAAAAAGGCAGACACCAACCCGTACAATAGATATAAGATAGTTCAATAAGAAATAATTTAAGAATTGCTGTGATAAAAGGATTTTCCACTGATTTCGTAATGGAACGTTATATTGCAAAACATGGCATGATAAAGAAGAAAATCAGTTTTAAAATAAAAAAATAACATTGCAAATACTTATTTGGTAGAATTCAGTAACTCCCAATAAATGTGTGTTGTTTGAAATACAATTTAAAAATGAACAGCTGTTTCATTAAAAAGTATTATTCACATGGCCAAAATGTAAACGACTCTGTGGAGGGATCTTTAAAGGCTTCTGGGGCAGAGTCCTAAGGGATTTTGATTAGTTTTTCTTTTGCTAACCCATCTACAGACCAAGACCATTCTTTGGACACCTCTACCAAGTTTCTACGCCCAGCTGTTCTCTCAAATTAGAGGGGACAAAGTTTCCAATTAAAAATTTAGATTCCCCCATGTTAATCTTATGGGAGAAACTCCAACTTTGATGGCCTGTGGGACAAAGCCCAAAAGGATTTTGATTACAGGAATTGGTGAAAGGGGGCGTCTACTCAAAAAATACTTTATTTTGACACGTCGTTTGTAAAAATCCGTCCATTATTAACGGAGGAGTAGTGTTTTGTAGAAATCGCCTTCACGTATTATATGTAAGGATAATACGTGCCTTTAACCAGCTGATTGAACATTCTCCTTATAGATTGATCATCCTTACATGTATTAGGTGAAGTGAAGACAATTTCAAGGTTAGTTCTATCAGCTCATGTTGAGGTTTGTTTGTTTGTTGTTGTTGTTGAGGTCACTTTGTTGTTTATTATTTGTTTCTTGTTTTTAACTTAATTTAAAACTATTTCTAGCAAATATAACTACTTATCACAATCATAGCTCATTATCTGACATTATAATCAAACAATAAAACACAAATTGAAAAATTCCCCCCAAAATAAGAGAGAAAAATTATTGATTAATAGCTTGTTCCAAAATTAGTTAACATCATTCCAAACATCAGGTGTCATCGAGTGTGTGACGTCAACAATTTGATTTCCTGTTTACTACATTTTTTGGTAATCATCAAATTGTAAACACAAGATTAGCACATCGTTATCCAGCCAGACCCATTAATTAGGGACCTGATGAAAGTCAACTTACCTAACACAGTACCCAACAAACAACTGATTTGCTATTGAGAAATTCACCACAATTAAGTTACCGTACCATACATTGGCTGGTGGGTAAACACATTTACTGGGTGACAATATATTTTACTGAGCATAGCAACATTCTTTGCCAAACAATTTCTATTTTAGTTTTTCATCCATCTATGTAGAATTGACTACCACCATATATTATTTTGAAGTCTATATTCATTTTGTCATACTGTCATGCTGTCTTAATAGGTTACTGTTAATGTTTCGAGCAAAATCATTCAACTATCAATCGATAGTGAAAACTCCATTTCTGGAGCATTTTGTATTGTTTTTGATTCAGCAGCAGTTCCTGGGTAGGGGGTACGTCCGATCTTAATAATCAATTACTCAAATGAAAGCTGGTTTTTCACTGAAGGTTCTTAGATCAAAACATATGGATAATGTAATTATAATTGAGTAAATAGGTATTCTCAAGTTAAATTCCAAATCCTGAAAAATAAAATTTGTGTTTTTTTATTGAGTATTACAACTCTTGAACTTAACTGATTAAAACAATAACTATCTCAAATGAAAGCATTTATTTCTAGGAGTATTTAAAAAAAAAGAGGCGTATAAAATAGCTAAAATAAAATGGAGTTTGGAGTTACTATTCAACGATTGCAGTGTAAGTCCTAAAATAATTATAATTATTATTGATTCGTGATTCAGCAGCGTGCTTCAGGTATGTCCAATCTTAATAATCAATAGCTCAAATGAAAGCTGGTATTTCACTGAAGGTTCTTAGACCAAAACATATGGATAATGTAATGAGAACTGGTGAAATACATCTTTAACTTAAGTAAGAATTTGAAAAAAAATCAAATGTATGTTTTTTGTAGAGTAATACAGTAGATAAAATGAATGATGATGCTTTGATGGCAAGTCTATGCGTGCTTACCTTTAATTTAAGACAAAAATGAAAATCTTTCGGGTAGAAGAGCCCAAACTAACTCGGAAAAGAAACACCAAATTTAACTCCCATAAGAAATGTACAAGGAAGTTGCTTTTATGCATAACTCGATATATAGGCCTACATCAGATAAATGAATGATGATGTTTGATGGTAAATCTGAGTGTGCTTACCTTTCATTTAAGACCAAAATTGTGCAAATCGATCAAGCAGAAAAGAACCAACTCGGAAAAGAAAAACAAATAATTTATAACATATAGATTTAGTTTATAAGTAACTAGCTGGCCCGACAGACGTCGTCCTGTCCTGTGTGGTTTTATGTCAAATGCTCATTCATTTTCAAGATGAGCTGGTTCGCATGGCTCAATCACGTCCTGGTCAAAGTTCCTTCGCTACGCTCACTCACCTTTAGGTTGCAGCTCGTTCCCTGAGCTCACTTGCCTTCAGGTTAGCTCGTTCGCTACGCTAACTCGCCTCCAGGTTGAAGTTCGCTCGCTACGCTTACTCACCTTTTGGTTACAAATTAGCAATTGTCATAAATTTAAAAAAAATAATATTGCTGCACCCTGTTGGTAAACCTATTAACTTTTTAATGCTATTGAACATCACAGAATCAAATTGTTTAGTTGAACCAGCTGTTAATGATAATGATTCTTTAATTCCATATAAATATGAGTACTCATAAGGTTAACATGGGAAACTCCAGAGCCACTGGGGCGGAGCCCTTTTGGCGGATCTGCACCAAACTTCAAACAAACCATCTTTGAATAATGCTTAAGAATGCCTGAAAGTTTCATCATAATCTGTTGAGCGGTTCCGGAGTCCATAAAGGACAAACAAACAAACATACATACAAACAAACATACATTGGATTTTATGTATATAGATAATTAGTTACCAATTTTTCTATATAATTTCTGATTAAAAATGTATATTTTTAAAATACGGTATCTCTGAGTTTAATGAGGCATTATCAAGTAATCTTAAAAATAATTTTATTTTTATAAGTTTGCATAGCAAATATGTTTAACAAGTTTTCTGGATCGTCTGATACACAAAAAGTCCATAATATTGAATTACATTTGAACTTATTATAAATTAATTTTTAATTTATTGCTTTGCCAATTTAAAAATTCATCTATATATTAAAGTTAAATATTTTTGTACAGAATACAATCAACTTGTTCCTCTACATTTTACATTACCTACTCTGTCGCTTGGAATCATCCATGTTTTGCAAAATTTGAATAGTGTACACTTTTTATTTTTGTTCAAACTGACAAGTCTGATTAGTAGTACTGTCATAGATGAAGTAATATAATACTTCATCTATGGTACTGTTTTCAATGCCAATAAAACACTAGTTACTATAATATAATGAACATGCAAGAGAGACATTACAGTACCTTCCTGTTGAGAGTTTGCCAGTTGATTACTTTAGCTGCGTGGCTGTTTGCTGGAGGGTAGTTGTGAAGATCAACAACTTTGGGGAAGTGGTATTTGCAGAGTTCAGCCATTAAAACTATAATAACAACAAGTTATCATATCTTCTGTGATATTCCTACTGCTACCGACATTACATTTCTAGAAGCTAAAAGGATTAGACTACTTTATCCTTATACGTCATTGGGGAATGGTTGGGTTGAAAATCTATCTTTTGACTTGTTTTTGTAACTGATCTTAACCAGCAAATCCTCAGTTCGATTTATTACAATTTGTTTTTATGTTTTCCTCATTAGGAAAATATTTAAGGAGACGCGTGGTGGGTCTGCTATTAAAGAAATTGAATATATTTGTATTATCGTACAGTAAGTAAACAATTTTATAAACCTAAAAAAAATTCAAGCAAGCAAGCAAGGAATTTCGTACAGTAATGTTGGATGTATCTTCCTTTTGAACATATTAAAAGTCCCCTAAAATTGAAGCTGTGTAACAGTCCCCATCTTAAAAAATGACAGCTAATTTCTGTATTTTTGGTTATAGCTGCTTTATTATTAGAGATGCAGAAAAAAATTTTCAAATGGAAAATGTCGCCCATTTAAAAATACACATTTTGGGTTATTACCATTGTTTCTCTAAACACAGCAGTTTTTGAGTTATTTGCAATTAAGTAGCCTATAGGCCTAGTTATTTTTTATTTATTTATCAAAAGTCGGTGAAACCTGTCGGAATTGACAGTTACTTTCCAGGTTTACCCATCCCACTCAGTTAAATAAAGTGATACTATCAAAATCTTAATATGTAACTACTTTTTTAAAGTGAAAAAAGTGAGGGGGGAAAATGTGACTAATATACGTGTTACAAATGTGGTTGAATACCTCAATGCATACAATATTCCTGATCCTGGTTCTAGATCGGAGTTTTATATTGAGTACTAAAATAATTTGTTCCAACTTCTGTACTTCTGAAATAACTACACTTAATTACTAAACAACTACTAAAATAACAGTATAAGTATTTGAATCGTGACGGTGGATAGCCATTTTTGTTTATAAACACAATCTCAATTATATTAGTGGTAGGCTGCTAGTAAATTTTTTTTATTTGATCAAAAATATCTCTCTCTTCAGAATGCACGAACAATATTACTTCAAAAAGAGGTTTACCCTCAAGCTGTGTAAGGTCGATTCCTTTACCCTCTCCCCTGCACCGAAAGTGTGAGCGGTCTGGTACCCGACATCACTATGGGTGTTTTGAATATTTAAATTTTCGGTCTGGTACACTGACGTCATCATGCGTTCTGGCAAATGTATGTTCCACTAACGGCAAATTACAATATATATCATTGATTACGTTTTAGAAAACCTTTTTTCATTGCTTGACATTACTATACAACTAATTTTATGAACATTTAATAATATACCGGCCCACAGACCGATGTCACCAAAAGAAGGATTTTGCATGTTAACAACTAATATAACCATTTCCCTAATTTTTTAAACCCGTTAAAAAAAATTAATAGATTTTTTATTTTCACGATTTAGTTGACTAACCCTTTATCGTAAAAAATTTTATTAGAAATTGAGTTTTTTAATATTTAGGTTAAAATTGCTAAATTCTTTTCTGAGTTAAGATTAACAAAAAAACAACACGCAATGCAATACATGTTTTTCCTACACTTCAAAATGTGTTTTCACTTGTATTAACATGTACAATCTTCTTAATACTTTGGTATTATTACACAAATTTGTTCAAAACAATTCCAATATTTAGTCTATTTAAAAAATACCTATAAAAGTTGGTCTCTAGGACCGTCACCAGTTGAAGACACAAAATCATGTCACCACTGCAGGGTTAAATAAGGTTAAGATTTTGATAGTACACTGTTCACTCTTTTTAAATGAGTGGGATGAACTGTCGTAAACCTTGAAAGTAACCGGTTTTTACCTATTTTTGATGAATATTAAATAAAAAATAGATATTAGGCACTTAATTGCAACTAACTCAAAAAGCTTTGGGTTTAGAGAAAAGATTATAATAACAAAAAATGTGTTTTTATAAATGAACTAGCCTACATTTTCTTTCTATTCAACGTGTTTTTCTGTATATATGATGATAAAGCACCTATAAAAAAAAAAACAGAAATTCCTAACATTAAGGTGTTATATAGTAGTAGACTTATGTTGTTCAAATCCTTATGGTTTCAACTTTGGATTACCAGATTTCCAAATGAGTACCTATGACTCAAACACATGCCACCTTATATTGTCTATCATAACTTGAACGTAAATACGTCACTATATGTTTTCTAGACCTGTTAAATACGCATAGATTGATGTATTCTGTTATCGTTTTGTTCCGTATTAAGACAGTTTAACTTACTTTAGAACACATAATGTGTCGTTTTGAATTGCACTTTATTTAAAATTTTTCTATTAACTTCCGATAATTGGGATTTAATTGGCTCAGACAAAGATCTGGAACTGATGTGTCGATGTGTCCAAGCTAAAAACAGCCTAGGCTACTGTTACTATTTACAGACACAAAAAAGTTTTATACATGTGACCTATGTGAGTTTTTTTTTTTTACTGAATTAAAAAACTAACTATCAATGTAATATTTTAATTGACAGTTTTGACTGTGACAGTGAGTTTAAAGTTTAAGTTTAAGTGTGTTTTGACATCATCATGTTTGATTTAAAGTAGTCATGTAACTGATGTGATTATTTTATAATGGTAAAAATTAAATCATTTTGAAATCCTTAGCTCACATTACAGGTTTTACCATACCCAGATCTCGTAGATGAGTGAACAACATACAGTATCATGTTTAAAGAATACTTAAAGAATACCTTAAAGAATACTTAAAGAACAAAAGAAAGTGATTAGAATAATAAAAAACCTACATCCAGGTACATCATGCAGGGAACATTTTAAAATGCTAAACATAGCCTATTAACAGTTTATGGTCAGTTTATTTTAGACACTATTATGATATTTTTAAACAATAAGAAGGATACAATTTTAGAACAAGAAACACACCATTACAACACGCGGAAAAAGAATGAAATCATACCCACTCACCATAGACTTGAATTTTACACAAAGAAGCCGTCTTACAAAGGAGCAAGTTATTTCAGAAAATTGCCAAAAGAATTAAAGTGTCAAATAAACAGTTCCAAATTTAAACTAAAACTAAAAACTTACTTGGTTTGCAAAGTATTATATTCCATAGAAGAGTATATGATAAATTAAGCAAATGTTAATTTAAATAGCTAAAGTTGTCACTATTCAGATGTACTAACATGTACTTGTCTTGTACGAATAAAGATATTTTGATTTGATTTGATTTGATTTACCTTCTACTAGATATCTATGATAAATAGTTAACCTTATCCTTGATAATTCCTCTATATACTTTCATACCTCCATCGGAAAAATCTCTTGTTAAATTTCTTTTGCATCTAGAAAGAGGGATTGCATCTATCCATGCGTATAACTTTTCAACGTCATCAAAAACTTCCATTATATTAATTTTAAACTGTTCAATATTTTAACTTCACAAACAAAACAAACTATTTTGTTATTTTAACAGCTGTATCATGGCACAAAATATAATATTTCTTTTAACATAGACCTCTAAAATTTTTTGTAGTATTGTATGGTGGTATAAAATATAGAGAAATACCCCGCCATAGCAAACCTGCAGACTCAGCAAAATTTCCATTCGCCTTATTATCCATTTCACTAAAATACAGTATCTCCTGAAAAATGTTAGATTTATTCCCTATTTAAATAAAATTAGTTGAACACTTACATAGATTTGCTGCAACAGGGAAGGTTGAAGTGTTTCTTTAGTAAAATGTTCAGATGTTCAGTATAAAATAAATAAATGTTCCTAGCTTTTTAAAAATATGTTCATACACAAGCAAACTACAACAGTTTACTTATTTTCCATAAGAATAACATTCAAATTTTTACGTACGACCGTTTTTTTAAAGTAGCTATTTCAGTTCAGTTCTTAGAATTGAAAAGTTTCTCATAACAGCATTGTTTACTTTCATAACAGCATTGTTTTACTCATAACAACACGGGTAACGGACCAATGAGGTTCAAGGATTGAGAGAGAAGAAGTAAAATTGTAATGATTCGAACTTCAACTAATCAGCCGTTCAGACCAATATTTAATTGTTGGGTGGTGCAATTAGTATTTGGTACAATGTTTCGTTGCGTTCCTGTCAGTGGCAATGAGAGGTTAAACGAAAACAACTTCTCTTGGAAGTTATGAGTAGTGATTTTTGGTAATTAAAACACTGTCGTCGGTAAAGTAGTGTACGCAGCTTACGTAAATAGCGTTAACGACACTCTTAGAAGTTTTTAAGGCACTTGCCAAGGTTTGTACCTTAAATTTTCTACTTGTTTCGTTAACACTATCTTTAAGCAACCGTTGCATAAACTACTATAAATTTACAGCTTTTTCAGACTTTTATTTTTAACCATTTAAGCACATAATAACTCTTCAATATACTAAATAGTTTTTTTCCTACAGTCACCCAGCAAAGAGTGGGTGGGCTTCCTTGCACTGATAGTATAGAATTGCTAGAATTGATAGTATAGTAATAACCCAAATATGAGTGAAGGATGAGTGTAGGATGAGTGGCACGATCTTGTAGTCTTGTTAGTGACTAAGGCCGACATGTTGCCTTTGACACAGCTGTTAATTAATAGCCCATACAGCTAATGGCAACTAAGGGACCTACAGTTTATAGTGGAATCCGAACCACATTTTTTCCTTATAATTTACGAATTGGTCTAATTATCAGTTTAGTACTGCGGATAGTCGTAGTACTCACTAGTGCGGACGTTAACCATGAACACCCGTTTCCATAATCTGATCATGCTCATTTCCAAACTCGTTTGAATACAGAACTTATCCTGTGCAAGGCTTGCCGAGCGCGGGATTTCATGTGTGAGTACTGTTTGTTAATACCTACTCGGCAGACTCACGTTAGATATGTTTTGCCACACAACCAACAAAAATTATAAAATTTTAACTCATCCATACAAACAAAACACACTGTTTAACTTTATTAATATTTCTATAATTTCGCCTTTTTGAAAACATGGAATACTGTAACCTACTTTCACCCGTTTTTGGATATAAAAGGCAGCCGATTTGAGCTAAATACTTTTGAATGTTTTTTTCCTAGGACGCTAGACAAGAGCCCGGGATTTTTTTCACATTACTTCAGGCTAAATGTGACCCTGAGTATGTTAAGCCTTTGTGACATTATCACCAAGATAAAATCCACTTGTGATTTGGCGCGATTTTAACCCAGAACCTCAGGGACCAAAGTCCCACACTCTAACAACTAGACCAGCTCGCTCTCCCAAATACTTTTGACTTAACTTTTATCTTACGTGGGATTTCCCAATATTCTCTATAGTAATCCATCTTCTGTAATAAATTGATTTGAATATTTTCACAATGGTGGTCATCAATCGAAGTAATACAAACTAACAAAATATATTAGCACCTGTTGCAGGGGTGAGTCTATTACGCGCGAGAGAGGGGAAGGTAGCTTTGCTTAAAGCCTATTGCAAAACTATTTATTTTGTACTCCAGCTAACTTTACCGTACTCCAAATCACTTTACCAGTCCCTTTCAGTAAACAACAACTTTCCGGTCTAAAAAGAGTACAGAAACCAGCTGTTTACTGAGTAGTATAGTGTATGATTTATGTTCAGACTTGGTAGTTATAGTTCGGCCGCTTAGAAAACGACCTGCGTACTAATGCTAAACCAATGCTGGAGGAGGTCGCTTTCTAAGCGGCCGAACTATAGTATATTTTTTCATCAAACTTTTATATAAATAGATGAAAAGGAACCTGAATACATGAAAAAGTAGTGTGTTGCAGAAAACATGAACTCGGTTGGTAGAGTGCTGCTCTCTTCTACAATCAAGAGCATTAAACTGCCTCCTAGATCTCGAGGAGTGTGGCCAGTCGGCAGTGTACAGTTTCATATGTCAACGCCAGATGGTGATATAGACTCTGCAGCTAAGCTGGTCGGCGCCGGCATCGCCACTGTTGGTGTCGCCGGGTCTGGTGTAGGCATCGGTGTTGTGTTTGGTTCCTTGATCATCGGATACTCTCGCAACCCTTCACTCAAGCCTCAGCTGTTTTCCTATGCAATACTAGGCTTTGCTTTATCAGAAGCGATGGGGTTGTTTTGTCTTATGATAGCTTTCCTGTTGATTTTTTGAAACTTAGGAAATTATGGTACCGGTAGTCATAGCTCTAAAAAATAAAATACAGTTAGCAGTCACACTTGAATTGGTTGTAGTAAAAAATGAAGAAATATTGTTGTTTAGCATCTTTATTTTAAAGATTTTGATTTCACAATAAATTCTTCTCTATTGGGAAAAATGTATTTGTGTGTATTTCTTTGCAAATATTTTTCTGTTCCTGTGGCCTACTTGCACACACATTCTCCTACTCCCAAAAAACATAACTTTCCTTTTCTCTAAAGATGCAATAAACCAAAATATATGACTAAAGGCTGACGCACACAGAGACAGATGGACTCATGCAGATGGACAGACTAAAATTTGCTCCCCATGTTGTCAAATGTAGCAACGCACGCAGGAATCTGTCAGCTTGCTAGAGTTTGTGGACAGATTTTTTGGAATTGTTACTTCTTCGCACTGCCACTAGGTGCTCTCTGGTTTGTTTAAATTTACTTGTGAGGGATTCTCATCCTGTCCCACATGTGGTATAGTTTCTTTGGTAAGTTATTGCATCATTTTTTTTAATCATGGCTTCACAACACTAGGTTGTCACACACCATTTCACAGCACCGAAGTAGTGAAAGCACAAGGTGAAGGAGGGAAGGGATCGCCTGCTTGCCGACTCCTGTGGCTGTGTGTTACAAAAAAAATCTGTCTGCCAGCATGGGTTTGTTCTCATGAATCCATCTATCTCTCTGTCTGCCGGTCTTAATATCTAGCAAAAGTGTCAGAATAATGTTAATATTTTTTTTGTCTGAGACTTTTGCTAGGTTTTAATGCCAAAATTATGCAAAAGAAGGTAATTTTACAGCTTGTTCATAATCCATGCAGTGTTTGAGCTTCTACGTTTGAGCTGAACTCTTTTATTAGCCAGAACCTAATATTTTAACAAAAGTAATATTTGGATTGTTTCCACATTTCTGTTGTACAAGAGACATTTTAATACCCATATTTAAACAAGTAAACTAGCTGACCCGGCGAACTTCGTATCGCCTAAGTTATAGGTTTCCCCTAAGACAGACCGATGGAAAGAAAGTACCGTTACGTTTAATTTTCAAGATGATCTCGTTCGCATCGCTCAATCACGTCCTGGTTGAAGTTCGTTCGCTACGCTCACTCACCTTTAGGTTGGAGCTCGTTCGCTGCGCTCACTTGCCTTCAGGTTAGCTCGTTCGCTACGCTAACTCGCCTCCAGGTTGAGGTTCGTTTGCTACGCTCACTCACCTTTGGGTTGGAGCTCGTTCGCTACGCTCACTCACCTTTTGGATGCAAATTAGCTGTTGTCATAAATGTAAAAGAAATAATAGTGCTGCACCCTGTTGGTAATCCTTGTAACTTTAATGCTATTGAACATCATAGAACAGAACCAACTTGTTTAATTGAAACAGCTGTTAAGATTCATTAATTCCATTTCTCATAAGGTTAACATGGGAAACTCCAGAGCCACTGGGGCGGAGCCCTTTTAAGAATTTCGAAACGGGAAATAGTTTACGTCCGATTCGCATACCTACAGAATTTACACACCAAATTTCATAACGATCGGTGAAGTCGTTCCGGAGGAGTTTGCAGACAAACACTGTGACACGAGAATTTTATATATTAGATAAACCTACACACCTGTTGTTACTGATCTGAACTCGGTGTCAGAGCAAGGCCCCACTAGAAAAACAGGCCATGCTGCAGGATCCATGACGTCACACAAGTGGATAGATTTGTTGGTAGATTCACTGCAATATCCCATTTGTTTTAGGTAAATAAGCTGGCTGTTTGTCAGATTTTAACGGTAAGATTTTAGTTCAAGTATCCACCACTGTGACGTAGTGTTGCGCTGCCCGCACTGCAGCATGGCCTGTTTTTCTAGTGGGGCCTTGGTCAGAGCCACCTTCCCACCTATAAGTCTGTTCACAAAATTTAGGTGGGTTGAGAGGAAGTCCCCCCACTACTTCTTTTGTTTAATTTATTTGTTGCTGGAGCTGACTGAAAAATGTAAGCAGTTGAGCTATATATTTAAACATAGAATCAAGTGGAGGGGATGGATTTCTCTTGCTAAAACCACCTAAATTTTGTGAGCACAGTATAGTAAACAAACCTGAAGGTTTCTGATACTTACACAATTAACATAAACTCAACCACAGGAATACTTCCATTAATAAAATACCTACATTATTATGGTTGCCATTTCAGAATAAAGTATTATTAATGTATAATAATAATGTTTGTAAATGTTGAAAATTGTAAAAGGTCAAGCAAAAAGACACATTTTGAAATGTTAAGTACACTTAAATAAATGTTCATTCATGTAATAGACCTTTTATAATTAACAATAAGGTATTAATGAACTTACATGAATACAGTTTTTGGGAATGTGGAGTGTAATAAAGGTACAACACAGAGATGTAACATTTTTTTTATTTCTACAAGTAAGGTTAAGTTATAATTCGAACAAAGCTGTGCAGCTGTGTCAATAAATTTAATATTACCATTAAAATATTTCTTATTTCAATTTTCTTGTAACATTAATTTTAACTTGATATAAATTTGTATCACAGATATATCTTTGATAGTAATAAAATTTTATATAATCACAATAAACTTGACTTTACCTCAAGTGCCTCAATTTCAAGTTGTTGGGTGTGGTAATGATTTAACCTCAAATGATTAATACAGTTAATACCTCGAATACTAGAAAAGACCCGGTATGGACCATAAACATACACAAATGACGTTTTTGGCCCGAAAGTAAACAAACCCATACGTTAATTAATGCTATTTATGGTCATTTGTTTATGTTTATGTGATCCATACGGGTATTTTTCTATTGTTCGTGGTTAACAAACTGTGAGTAATAAATAATAAATATGAAACAATATATGTAATTTCCATCTTTATTTTTTCTGGAAATGCATCTACATTTCTCCCAGTAATAATACATATTTTACCCTGTCATTGTGAGCCAAATTAAATTTTAGAATAGTTATACAGGCAAAAAATTCATTGAGGCAACATCCCAGATTAATGCTTTAAAAAAATTGTTTAAAAGTCCAATACAATTAATTTAAGAGTTTTCCCATCTCAACTTATTTATAATCAAATGTTAAGCGATGAAATTTAAAATTTATATAAAAAATTATATGATGATTGGCAAACTGAACAAATATCTGTAATAGCTATACATTACAAGTGTAGTAAGAGCGTTTTTACATCTCGCAGGTGAATGTTGTGCAACGAGCGGAAACGAGTTGCATAATTCACCTAAGAGATGTAAACACGCTCTTGCGTAACGTGTAACGTACAAGATTTTACCTGACCCGACAATATACATGGGTTTAAATACAATATTTTTCATTGTCCATTTCACTTATCGTCTAACAGTAACGTTCTTTTACAAACAAAAGCTAGGTTAGGAAAATACTTTAAAGCATAACAATAACATTCAAGCGCACAGCTGATTTCTAGCATTGAACGTCGATGCCTCCATAGAGGTATATTTTTTTAAGTTAAGCACTCAATGTTATTTAAATGGGTTTCATTACATCACCGAGTGAGTTTTTTTCAACTTTACATCACTCGAGAAGTAAGGAAGTTGTATACATCACGCTTGGGATAGGGAAGTTTAACATGGCGGGTTAGGTAAACTTATTTATACACAATTTATAAAAAAACTGCATTATCTTTATACTTCTGGACCCAATCAAGATCACCAGACACATAAGATCATAATCATATGACTTCCATAATTCCAGAAAAAATCTCAATATGGCAGACATAACAATTAATTGAGTTTATAGTTACATAATATAGAGGTTTTTTTGTCACATCATTTTAGGGAAGCAAAACTCCAAAACAAAAATGTAGTGAACACCTTTTCTTACTAACGGAACTTATATCTGTATAGATATGTAAAAGTAAGCCTATATACAGTATGAGTACTATTTTAATACGCCTGGCCATCTATTTTATAAATTTCAGTAATACAGAAGAACCTCTTTAATCAGAACTAATTGGGACCAGGGGTAGTTTGGACTATTGAATAGTTCAGATTAAAGAACATATTGTTGTTTTACATAACAAAATGGCTAAAATGGATTGTAATTATTAAGGGAAAAGTGAAAAATGCTTCATAAAGTTAAATACAGTGTTTATTTAGTACAGTAGGAATCATAGTAGGCTCAAATAAACAGTACTGTACATTACAATAGGAACAATTACGGTGCGTATATCAATAAATACAGTATACAATAAAGAACTACTGTACTGTGTATAGAGTACGGCATTCGGATTAGTGTACGTTCGGATTACGGGGGTTTGGATTAAAGAGATTCTACTGTACAACCTTTTCAAAACTCAATTTAAGTATAGAGTATTTTGATAATAACCCGCTGCAGCAATCCAATAGACTGAGCAAATTTCCATTTTCCTGATTGGATTTTAACATAATACCAATTTATTCCCCATTTAAATAACTTTACGTTTAACGAATACTTAGGTTTGCTGCTAAAGGAGGGTAGTAAAAAGAGTTAGTTAAATTTCTTAGTAGTTTTAGTTAAATAGCTTAGTAAAAAATATGTACATTCTCAAAGTGTGATAAAAATATATCCATAAACAAGTAAACTACAATAGTTTACATATCCCATAAGATTAACATTTTTTTTTTTATTTTCTCTGCATCCAATAACAAAGTACAAAAACACTTTTAAATATGTACTAAATTACTTGTTTTTAAGCTCTAACAAATTTTACAAAATAGAGAGAAATTGGTAAATTCTATGTTTTGAAGATCAAAAATAAGAAAAATCAATTTCCACCATATAAAACCTCGTTTCCACAGTCCAATGATGCTGGTTCGCAAACTCGATCAAATAAAGATAGGTTTACATGTTTGTACCAAATCGGATCACTTTTACTCAAGTTATCGAGCTAACTTACACTTACATACATATATGAATTTAAACGGATGGTGTTTTTGTCATCTGGGGACATCAAACCAAAAAAAGTAAATTTGTCTCTGGTCCAGGTCTTACTAAGAGACCTACGGTCCGTAATAGCGTATTCCCTACATGGGAAATTTGTTAAAAACTAATCTAACTTATTTTAAGTGTCAGAAATACACTACAAGAAAGGTTGTAACAAAAATAATAGGTCAAGAAAAGGTATTTTTCCTACAGTCATCTGATAAAGCGGGCTTCCTTGCACTGATTATAGTACAGAAAGCTGCTAATTGCTGCATTTACTTACTTTGCAGCAAGCTTTTATTTGGTGCACTCTTTTTTTTCCACACACCAGTATTCCAACCAAACAAATACACAAAAAACGGAATAAGTGTGCTTTTAGTATGCACATAATCCGTTTACGCTTGGAAATAGGTTGGCAACACTTAAAGATACAACGACTACGATCAGCTGTTTCAGTGTTTCCCATTTCGTTCAACGCTAGGATTTAACCTAACCTAAAACGTGTTGTTTATTGTTTGAAAGACAAAATATTTCTATGCTTCATAATAACTGTAGGAAAAATATTATGTGTAAAACGAGTGCAAATTGCCTTTGCTGCACTTGAGAAACTTTCCACACTCACCGACGGCTCATGCGTAACATTTCTCTCGTATACAGAAAAGTGCCACTTCGCCCACTAGTTACACAAATAACTATTCCATTATGGGGTTAGTATGAAAAGAACAAAAACAATTAGAGCAAATTAGGGCCGTTGCTAAATTTACCCATTCTACAGGGTGTGTTTTTTTTTTTTTTTTACTTGCTTCTTTATTTATGTAAAAACTGCAATAGATAGAAATATGCAGTTTGCGGGAATCGTCTATTGACGTAGGGGCCACAATTGTTGTGAATTTAATGTGCAGTTCTCATTCACCCCCTTCTCCCCCTACCCTTAAGTTAAAATTTTTAAATTTCAAGGTACCCCTTTTGACATACCAAATGTGAGGGCATGAAAAAAGAAAGAGAATGGCACAAACTAGAGATCTCTACGTCAATCCTATCAAAAGTTATGGCAGTTCAAAATTTGAATGTTTAACCCCCTTTTTTTAAGAAAAAACACGTTAAGACTCTTAAGCGTTTTCCGAAAATTTCACTCCTTCACCTTTAAAAATCGCACTCCTTCACCTTCAAAAATTGCCCTACTTCTAAAATTTGTAAAACTTTTTTATTGAACAAGCATGCCAGTTAATCACACCTTTGAAAAATGCTTGTTCAACAAAAAACCGTAAAAATCCAAGACATTTTTAACTATTTATTGATTTTAAGAAGGCATACAATAGTATACATAGAAAACAAATGTGGAAATACCTCATGAAAATGGGAATCCCAAACAAATTAGTTAAACTAACACAAACAACGAATATTCAACTGAATTCAATGTAGTTACCGGAGTACGACAAGGAGACAGACTCTGTTGTTATTCAATCTAGCTTTAGAAAGTGCTCTTAAAAGAGTGAAACAACAACAACTTGGTGTAGAAGTTGGAAAAAAGGTAAATATTATAGCTTTTGCAGATGATGTGACTCTATTAGCAGAGGATGAAAACGGTCTAAAAACCTTCACAGAGACTCTAATTAAAGAAACTAGAACAATAGGCTTGGAAATCAGCGAAGAAAAGACAAAATCCCAAATAGTTGGACGAAACTTAGAAGATTTTGATGTGGAACACTCCTTGCAAGTTGGAGACTATCATTTCAAAAGGACTGCAGAGTTTAAGTACTTTGGAGTGACCATAGACCAAGAAAATAAAGAAGAATTAGAGATAAACGTCAGATTATTACTGGGGAATAAATGCTATTGGGCCCTTAAATCCCTGATGAAAAAAGTAGACTTTAGTCAAGGAGAACTAAAGAAAAGCTCTATAAAACTATAATACAGCCAATAGCACTCTATGGATCTGAAACCTGGATATTGACAAAGAACAACGAAAAGAAAATAATTGTTTTTGAAAACAAAATACTAAGAAGAACTATCTACAGTCTGATCAATGAAAACGGGGTGTGAAGGATCAGAACAAACAAAGAATGTAGGGAAATCTATACAGACCCAGACATAATAGCACAAATAAAAAGCAGGAGACTGAGATGGGCTGGTCATGTGAAGAGAAGAGAAGAGAAGATTCTACGCTACGAATGGTGACTGAAAATCTCCCTCGGGGAAGACGACCACTAGGACGACCTCGGCTAAGATGGCAGGACCAGGTCCTATGCCAGGAGACAAAGGGAAGCTAAGAGCAGAGACAGAATGGATGGAAGACAGAGAGGTGGTGACTTGTTGTTTGTTAGGCTAAAAACCTACTGAGGTTTGAGTGGCCATATAGGTAAGGTAACGTAGGAGAGAGGGGGTGAATGGGAACTTCACATTAAATTCACAACAATTGTGGCCCCTACGTCAATAGACGATTCCCGCAAACTACATATTTCTATCTATTGCAGTTTTTAAATAAATAAAGAAACAAAGTTAAAAAAAAACACCATGTATTAATATCAAATAACAATTCACAAACATACTTTATTTGATTTGTACTATGACTGTAAAATACATTATAAAGCTACATATTTTTACTGTAACATACTAAATAAATATTTGAGAATAAAACCTTACACACAGTATTTATAGCTCTTATAGCTGGAATCCTATTTGTTAAGTAGTTAGATTTTGAGAAACCGGCATATTCCAATCTCTATAGGTAATCAATATACTATTTACTCATGACGGCTGGTCCATAAATAAAGACTCTGGAACTGAGTCATCTCATTTTGAAGAAAAAAACAAACATTAATAAGATCGTTATACCTGCATTTGAATGTGATGTACATAAACTCTATCAGGGTCAATTCTTTTAGGATGGGTGATAATGGAAACAACATATTTTTTGCAACAGGTAGTACGCGAGGACTCAGCAGGAGTCCAAACTCTCATATAAACTGCATCTAATACAACAGCGTTTGGGCTTCCGTGCAAACAGTAGTTCTAACTATTACCAAAACAAGCACAGAGCGCTGCGATCCGTTGACTTTCAACGTCAACACAATATGATCAGTCAAATAAGCAAATACAGTCTAGTGATTTGTAGAGATTAGGTTCATCGTACCACCAGTATTCGAGGTGTTAATATACTATTGTCTCTCTGGAAGTGTTATTCAGTGATACTAATGAATGATGAATTCTGTAAAAAAATATTTCTGCAAAGTATGCGAGTTGAGGCCAATTAATTATGAATAAAGAGACAATAAAGATTAAAATAAACAAACAGTTTATATCCAAAAAAGGTCATATCCAAATAAGTGGCCTGAACCAACTTTTAAATAACTAATTTTTTTTAACTTTTTACCAAGACCCTACCACAGTATCAGTTACCTCACAAAAACATTTGTATAAATGCATCCTCCTACTACTTTAACCCATCAAACCACCACTGTATTTAGTAATCTAAATAGTACCAGTAACAACAAGACTGTATACTGTACTATCAAGAGTAAAGCTGTAAAAACAATCACTTGTCGTACTTTTCGTACATACCATGATACTGTCAAAATCACCATTCTGACAATTTTTACTACTAAAATGGAATCAAAAACAAACAGTGTCAAGCAAGTAAAAAACAAAAAGATCACTTCCTACACTCTTGCATATTGTTTTGTTGATGTACGCTAATGGTACAGTGTCATTTAGTGATTAGGTCAAACTATTTGCAAAAGGGTTACAATACTCTACACTCTGGAGGGTAAGATCCTGGTGACAAATATTGTGGGTAAAGTTATCACATAGGTACACAGTACAGCGATGGAAAATGTATATGCACACAGTAACTAATATCTAGAGAAGAAAAGATTGATTAGAGCTTGAAGCAAAGCTCAGGGGCAAACTATTAAAAAAGAGAGCAGTACATTACCAGCATGCATGGATTAGACTAGAGCAGGCATGTTTTTGGTTCGGTAACAGAAGAAGGCAAGATGCTTCACAGGCAAACAGGTCTCAGGGCCTGCAAATAAGAATGTAAATCAGAAAACATCCATGCAACACCTAACATAACACTTACCCTACATCCAGCGCATGGACACACCTGTACTCAGATTTTAAATGTTTGCAGTTTTATAACTACTGTTATAAAAAAAAATCTGAAAGTGTCAGTTTTGTGTTTTTAAATAACTTAAATACACAAAAAATTTGACTGGGCAGTATTTGAGTACTGGTATTGCCTAGTTGTCAAAAAGAAGCGAGATACTTCTTAACCATGTAATCAACCTGAGAAATTGAGTAAACAAGCTAAACAGGCCTTTACATATTGAGTGATTTAATTGTCTGAAGTGCTTGCCTTTAAATATAAAGGTTGCATTTTAATTACTTTAATGAAATAATGGGATTTTTTATTCATCAGTTAAACTTTAAAGAGGAAAATAAACACATCATACCTTTACCCTGGCATTTGTTGGCTCAAAAAGTTTTATTTTTATTTTTCTAAAAGAGCTTTGTTGATTGTTGTAACTAATATGTAACTTTGCCCAGATGTAGCTTAAACAGTCCCATACAAGGCGTGTTTGCAGAGATGGCCCTAAAAGTATAGCCCCCAAGAAGTCCTTACTTACCCTATGTTAATTGTTCTTCTGGCGTACTGCCAAATTTTGGAACAACTCACAATTTAGCTTGATTAAGAGCATCTCATCCATTTGACTCATAGAAAGAAACAAATATGAAGTCCTGTTACAAGGGAAATGTTGTGCAGTATGAAATATACTGTCAAATGCATGTCTGTAGAACACCACATAGTGGCTGCCATTGAAAGGTATTGATTATGAATAAATAACAACCTTCATAATATTGTCAGAAGTCAAAAAAATTATATAATTTTAAAACTTTGTTTAATTTGTTTTTATTCATTCACTAAACCCCAAAATTGTTTGATAAACACTTTTTTCTCATAGCCAACAATCATAATCAATAAAAATGTACAATCAATAACTACAACTACAAAGGGTGTCCTACAATGGTTCTATAATAGGTTAAAATTTGTTTTTTCTATTCCTTGAACGTTCCTTCCTGCATAAATCATTTTGAAACTTTATAATGAATATGTTGAAAATTACTTCCCACCTTATACCACCACCATGAGAAACATTGCTCATCAAACAAATAACAATAATAATAATATACTAGTATACTCATTAAACAGAGACAAACGTAAGTATATGGCCTATATAAAGTATTAATTATTTTTTCTTAGATAATTTACACTACTGTCTCTTTTGCTGGTAAGACAGTTTGGCATCGACTAAACATTATGGTCAAACACACAACACATGCATAACACTAAATGCGGAGTTCCGCAGGGGTCAATATTAGCATTGACTTTATATCTAAAAGTCAATGATATTAGGCCCCTTGCTATTTTTAATATTGATTAATGATTTTATTCTAAACGTATCGTCAAACCTTATCTTATATGCTGATGTCACTACGGCAATAGTTGAATCAAATAATTTGCAAAATCTTAAAAAAGAAGTCTTTCTATTCTTAATATTTTATCCTTTGAAAATGCAAAATTTTAGGCATAGATATTGATAAGAATTTAACATGGGAAAACATATAAAAATTGTAGTTGTTAAATTAAATACTGCTTGCTTTCAAAATGTACGTTCTGAAAAATGTAATAGATTTGAAAACTAAACTCACAGTATACTATGCAATGTTCTATTCTGTCTTGCAATACGGGATTGAATTATGGGGAGCAACTTCATATTCTAAAGCAGTTTATAAAATTATGAAAAAATGTATAAGGGTTTTATCATTCATGCCTAAAAGAACATCATGCAAAGATTTATTAGCTAAATATGAGATAATAATTTTTCCTTCTCTATCCTATTTAAAATTATGGTGAATTTTATGTACAATGATAAACAGTCATCCGTATCCTAACAAAATAAAAAAAAACCAATATCCAAGACATCGCCTATGTTTGTATGAAAAATCTCCTTATTATATGGGTTTAAGACTTTACAACAGTCTACCCACTAACTTCAAAGAAATTAACAGTATTTCCATATTTAAAAAATGATTTTAAACAATACCTTATAGAGAAAAATTATTATTCACTTTCCGAATATTTAAATGATATGTAAATGTATTTTTAGTTTAAATAAATGTAGTTTTTTGTTTTATTTTGTATGTTAAAGATCTGACAATGTCACCTGTTTCAACAGCTACGCTGGATTTGTGAAATGTTTTGTTTTGTGACAATAAAAAAGTAGTATTTCATTTCATTTCGATTTCACTGACAATTCCAGTGAGCCTAAGGCCCTAGCCAGGGGTGGCTCCAGGAATAATCTTTTGGGTAGGCCTGACAAGGATCAAGAAGGAGTTTGATCAGGGTACGAGAGGTTTGAGGGGATTCCCTGCACAAAAATGGGGGAATTTAAAAATGTAACTCCAAAATAATGGGTGTTAATGCTTTCCCTTTATTTACATATAATACAGGGTGATTACTGGGAAACGCATGTTTTTGACTTTCGTAGTACACAAGGAATATCGTTCGGCGACGGCCGGAAGTTGTTGCGATGTGTAGGGGGAAGTGTGCAGTTTCAATTTTTGCCAAGATGTGGGACCTTGAGCATCGTATGTTTGTCATGCGACGATATTACGCAAATGGTGAATCAGTCACTCAGACTCAGCGAGACTTTCATACACATTTTAACATTGCACGGCATGGCGCTACCCCTGATCGTAACATGATATTGCGTTGGATACATAATGTAAAACTCAATTAGATCTCTGCTTAAGAGAAAACCTCCTGGACTGGCAAGGACAGTTAGTACCCCTGATACAGTTGAAAGAATGCGCCTTGCAACAGCTCAGAGAGTCCTAGCCGCGACGGCAAAACAGTGACTCCAGTGATTCCACAACGGTACCTAGACATGTTGGAAGAATATTTCTAGCCGGAACTGCGCCATCAACGTGTACGTAATGACATATGGTTCCAACAAGATGGGGCAACAGTCCATACAGCTCGCATTAGAATGGAATTCCTTCGGCGAACATTACCTAAAAGAGTTATCCCACGTTTTGGTGGTGTCACTTGGCCGAGCGCTCACCAGGTCTTAAAATTCCAGATTTCTTTCTATGGGGATTTTTTAAATCTAGAGTTTACAATATAAACAAACCAAAAACAATACAGGAACTTTAAGAAGCTATTCGCCAGGAAATCAACGCCATTCCTGATATGTTAGCAAATTCCGTAGAAAGTTTTAAGGAACGCCTTCAACGCTGTATCAAAGCAGAAGACGACCCGTAAAAGTATCAATGTTCTCTAACCACCACGTTAGAAATGTAATTTTTAAATGCTAAATTGCAAGTAATTTTATTCTGAAATTGCATATTGTGCACACTGTTTTTCCACTCATAAATAAATTTTTTGCTCTGAATTACCTGAGTACTCGTTATTTGAAAAACATGCGTTTCTCGGTAATCACCCTATATAATGTCTTTATTTATTTAAAATTGCCTACCTGGCCCTATCACATTAGTTCTAGCTTATGTTGAGTTTAGCTTAAGTGTACAGTTGCCAGTGTTCTGTCCCATAACTTGTATTACAAGGGTGGTTTTTAAAGTAAAGAACTGTTGCATACAAATCTGTAGTTCGCTTATACGCTGACACGAGGCTACTCTCCACTTTTTTTACTGACATCATTGGTGAACATAATGACACCATTTGCAGCTATGTGGCTGACATGTACGCTTCGCTGAGTGTTAAAAATCTTTTAAAGAATCAAATCTCTTGCTGAATTTTAAACTCATGTTGAATTTGGGGCTTACTCACGACTTTCTGAGCTATACACAAAAACGGCCCTAACTTAAAAAATGGCCCTCGTACTTAATCACTTTACTACTTACATTACTAAAATAGGGGTACTCTGTTTCATTCACGGATATCGGCATTTAAAGTTCAATAAGTATTATTATTTATATTTCTGACATTTTAAAAGAGTACTAAGTGAAGTTGGCTATCATAGAACAATAACAAAACAATTATCCTTGTTGTTGGTCCTTGTTAGTTTTAAAATATCACGTTCTAAAAATTATGCATTATGAATCTGATATCAAAATTAGATTAGGTTTGACTTTGAGCTACAAACTGCATGCTATATAGCTAATCTAACAAAAAATTATGTGGTTAGTGGTTTGAAACATCTACATATAAAAACTCTTCATGAAAAAATTGCTTATTTTGTGTCTACCACTTTCAATTTATGTGAGGCTCAAAATAATCTTTAATTTTTGGAATGGAATGATAATACTTACAATATTGTTCTTATCTATTGTCAACCTGTTGTTAGAAAACTTCTTTAACTCAATTAACTGCAAGAATGTTTCATTAAAGTTTAGAAACAAATCACAACTGTAACAAGAAGAGTTTTTGTTGGGATCAAACAACCGATTTAAAGGCAAGCACTTAGGAATCAAAATATAACCTAAAATAAAACTGTTATGTAATTCACAAAGAAGAACCTTTTCCATTAATATTGGTACCGTAGTAAATAAATTCATCAACCAGAAAATTAATATGGATTAAAATTTTTTTGAGTATCCTATATGTTATTTAACCTAGTACAAAGCAACAACTAAAAGCTTTTACACAATTAAACATTAATTATCACACTAAACATTTGTCCGCGGGGGAGGAGGAGGCATGCTTTTCACGCTCTAGGGACTAATGGTTGTATACTTACCAACAACACACGTAGCAATGCAAGTGGAAATATGTATGCAAAAAACTATAAAATGAAAATGTATAAACTGCCTTTCAAAACCATACATAGAACATAGATTATATACTTTAAAAGCTGAGATATAAAGTATTTTTTAAAGAATACAAGATATTAGTTGACAGAACAATAAGATTAATATTTAAGATACTTCATTAGGAAAAGTGATTAATCTACTCTACAATGATGTATTGTAGTTTAAGGTAAAATTGGCACATAATTGGCACAGAATTAATCCTAAATGAATACTGATCCACCACAATGAACAATGCATCAATGATCAGCACATGGAATCTATTAATTATTTCTTCTAAAATACAACCACAGACTATAGAGTAACGTTACTCTATGATACAACTATCTAACGAACAAATGAAACTACTATTAAAACAATTAATATCAACAAGAAACTCAAAGTGAAACTAAACTACGGTAATTATTCGTGAAGGGACAGTATGATTGTCAAAGATTTAATGATTCTAGTGGCGAAAAATATCACTAATGAGTTTGTTTGTACAAAAACTATATTGTTTAATGATGATAGAAGGTGAAATAGGTTTGAATATGACTACTATAACAGAACAAAGACCTAAGATTAGGTCTCTATTCTGTGCTACCATATTAGTTCATCTATGCTAACTCTAAAATAAAATTTAAAAAACTTTGATTAAAAATCATTTTTAGAAGTTTTTACAAATTTGGGTTTTAGGAGGTTACCGTAATTAAATCATGTGTATTTAGTATTTACTATCAATAGGTAGGTATATTTACAAAAGTAAATCTGTTAGAATGAGAGAGAGGAATAGGATAGTTGGTTAAGATTTAGGTTTTATCAGTATGTTTAACTTTTACCTATACACGTGTTAATATAAAAAAAACTTGTTGGGATTAACTTAAATTTAATTTTAAATAATAATCAAAAATCTCTTAAGACACGTGTTACACAACCTATTTTTCACATTAATTTTAGAAAATAACGCTGTTATATATTATGATGTAGTATATAAAATAATAGCGACCTATTTACTTATTGATAAAGTAATTGTGTTAAGTCTGTTTGTGAAGGATTGACTCTGAACACCATTGAACTCACAACCTTGAAATGTAAAGAGTGTTTGAAGTTGATTCAAACACATAAATAGTATGAACCAGGAACTCAAACAATAATAAATCTATTGCCAAGCAGAGATTCTACAAGAAATAATATGAATTCATAATGGAAGCATTTCTTTTCCGACATCACAGAAATTATTAAACAGTTGTCTCCTTATCGCTAATGACTTGAATGGTTCCATCCTCCGTTATTTGGATTTCCACTTTGGGTAAATCATCCAAGTCGTCAACAGGGTCTTGGAACCTCACCTTCCCCCTCCCCACCTCCTCCGTGACCTTGACGGGACCACCGGGCCTCGGAAGAGACCGTCTCGCGTTCTCTTGGTTGTGGTCAGAGACGTAATTACCAGAGTTGTCCGGGACATCGATCATGTTGGTCGGAGTCATCACCACATCACTGGGCGAAGGGGTCAGGAATATACTCGCAGGGTTGTCAGGATACAGCTCATACTTACTGTCCAGGCAGCGTGGGGAAACAAATTGATTAGATGTGTTTTAATAACTATATCATTGACTTTTGTATACTGAAAAAGACGTTTCATAAACATGGACCAGCTGTAGCCAATTTCTTAAACAAATAGAATATAGTCAAAGAGCCACTGCACAGGGAAATAAGGTACAGAGAACACATTCAATGGTGCACTTAAGTGGTGTCTACAACTAGCCGCTGGTGTCTTAGACAAGGTCCAACACCATCAATTCCTAACCCCCCTCGTCATCACGGACTATAGCGCTCACGCTGGAGGAAGACCCTGTGTGATAGAAACTCATTCGAGTCCTTGCCGCTCAGGCTCTTCCTTGTTTGTACCTGCACACAAACATACTAGAGCAGAAAGCACTCAAGTTTTCTCTGTACCTTACTCCTTTGTGGCCACTTACAGTGTTGCTGTCAAAATTTGATTTTCCCATTTACTTTTTGGTGGTTTTGTGAAATAAATATGCTTTAGTTTACAATAAGTTGTGCCTTACAATTTGGTTTGGAGAGTAGTAATTTACAACGACACACTGTTGGTGGCTCAATTGAGTTATGCTTATTTTTAACCTAAGTCTGGCTACAGCTTAAACATAGAGTGAAATGTCTAGATCTATCCAGAATCCAAAGTGTGATGTTTATATTCTGGAAGTCAAGAGAAGACCCCTCAACTGGATTGAATAACAAGTAAATCAGGGGTCCTCTTTTGACCTACTGACATAGTAAACAACGGTAGACTAAAAGCCAGCGCACACAGAGACAGACAGTCATGAGAACGGACTCCTGCAGGCAGACTGAACACACACAGCCGCAGGAGTCCACAAGCAGGGGGACTATTGGACTATTGGGAAACATTGGGTGCATCCTATTTATGAAAAAAGAAAATTAATGGCGAATATCATCACCTTATCCAAGATTTAAAGGAGAACGAGGAAAATTTCAGAGGATATTTTTAATTATGCAAGAAAGAGTGTTAGGAAGTATTCTGGCAGCTGTTTTACCACCCTAATTAAAAAATAAGAACGTTGTCGTTAAGTGTAGAGACTCCAGGACTTGCCATTGGTGTCAATGTGCGGAGAAGAAACGTTTAACACCTCTATGGGCATAAAGATCTCTAAGGAGAAGCTCCAGAAGTAAACACCCGCCTTTGTATCTAAAAGACTATGTCAGCTAGGAGGGGAAGAATGTCATATAATTCCTTTCTATCTGTACATTGTAACATCTGTTCAAATGTTTAGAAGTTGTTTTTGTTTACTATGATGTTAGTTTGTTTCATATTGTTAGTTCTCTATCATGCTAGATTCTATGTTCAATAAAGCCTAACTAAAGGTAATTTCGTTTATAATGGTTTTATTCATTCAATATACAACACCATTGGTGTCAATGTGCGGAGAAGAAACGTTTAACACCTCTATGGGCATAAAGATCACCCAAGAGGCAATTCCAAAAAAATCTGTCCTCGAACTGATTGAAGCAGACACCCACAGGCGGAGTGGGTATTGTAACATTTGAGCGATTTTTAGTCTGTCCGTCTGCAAGAGTCCGTCTGTCTCTATGAGCTTAAGTGTTAAGTGTAATTGGGCTTTTACAATTAAAAACTCTAGTCACCCAACATTTGGAGCATTTTTAAGTGATTAAATTTCACAACAATATCTTTCATGAGGTTGTGTTTAGAGGAAATGTAAACAAACATAAATAAATAAATAAATATATACATATATATATATATATATATATATATATATATATATATATATATATATATATATAAAGGGTGTCCATAAAAAACATTTCAGGACTTTGGGAAATGATTCCTCATACTAAAAAGAAGAAAAAAGTTAATGTGAAGGTATGTCCAAAAATTCATATTTACCCAGTTATCCGCCATTTTGTTTTTTATACAAAGATATTTTTATCTGTGAAGTTTTGCATTCGATTATTATGAAATTTGGTAACCATGTTAACATACACAAGACCTATTATAGAAAAAATAATAAATTTATTCCGATATTTCAAAATGGCGGCCGTTTCAATTTTTATAACTTAAATAACTCAAAAACGGATAATTTTATGAAAGAATGTCAAGGATACTTTTTTTAGGATTTTTAATTCCCTATCAAACGATACCAAGATCACAAAGATCGGACAAAAGATAATTGAAATATTAAGTTTTTTGTGTAAAAATAACAAAGTTAATCAAGAAACCCTTAATTTTACCTTATTTTTACACAAAAACTTAATATTTCAATTATCTTTTGTCCTATTTTTTTTATCTTGGTATCGTTTGATAGTGAATTAAAAATGCTAAAAAAAGTATTCTTGACATTTTTTCATAAAATTAGCCGTTTTGAGTTATTCAAGTTGTAAAAATTCAAACGGCCCCCATTTTGAAATTTTCAATCGGAACAACTTTATTATTTTTTCTATATTAGGTCTTGTGTATGTTAACATGGGTACCAAATTTCATAATCATCGAATGAAAAACTTCACAGATAAAAATATTTTTGTATAAAAAACAAAATGGCGGATAACTGGGTAAATATTTGCATTTTCGGACATACCTTCACATAAACTTTTTTCTTCCTTTTAATATGAGGATTCATTTCCCAAAGTCCTGAAACGTTTTTTTATGGACACCCTGTATAGCTAGACCTACCAAATCTAGAACACTAATCAACCATTTGGAAAAATTAAATTATTATTTTTTTTAAGTTTACTAAGATTTATTGGGGAATCTTGCATTTCAGTTTTTACCAACCTAAAGGCAGCTCCAGAATGTGCCAGATGCCAGGCACGAAATATTTTATGTTCGGCGATCTAGTTGTCTTGCTATTCGCCGATTAACGTGTAGCTACACACATGCACACATGGGTTGTTTTCCAAGCAGCTGTTCGTTTTTCGTCCATTTCGAGAATAGCAAATATTCCTTTACTTTGATGTGTGCAAAAATACCGACAATGAATGGGAAAACACAAACAAGAATGTTTGCTGCTTGCCAAAAAGGCAAACGCCTACCCACACTACTCGCCATTCGGCGAATCACTGCTCGGTGCTTGGCGAATAGCGCATGTCTGGAGCCGCCTGAAGATGCCATCAGCTGTTTTTTAAATCATCTGATGGACAAAAGTGGTATCTATGGTACACAATCCATAATCACTAAGTTTGACCCTTAGGCCAAAAACTACTCCTGCTCCTGTCGATCAGTTGTTAATTTGTTTTATTAAACATTGTTGTAATCATATGCAGATGTTGTAATTAACATATTTTTGGTTGTTTACTTTTAACTGTTAATATTTTTAATATTAACTAGCTGTGTGCCAGTTCTACGTACGGGGATCTTATAGTAGTCAGTTGAATGTGACAAAAATCACACAATGTTGGGTTTTTGGACATTTGTAATTTTATTTCTTAAGTAGGTAGGCCATTTTTTTGTATTCTATGGAAAAGTACTGGTATTAAGGATCGTCGTCGAAAAGGTTGTTAGATGAATAAATAGGTAGGCGTACGTACCCAAGAGATGGGCTATGGGCCTATTGGCTGTATGGTTCAGCGATTGCATTACACGGTGAGTAGAAACAGAAAGTTAAACATTGGAAAAGTGACTTTAGCATCATCCGTAATAGTATTTTACGCAACGATTGCGTTAAGTTGGTCTTTACGAGACGAGTCGAAAATTTAAGGCACGAGCCTTAAAAACTGCTACGAGTGTCGTAAAGACTATTAACGCGAGTTGCGTACACTACTTTACCTACGACAGTTTTTTAATTACTAACAATCTGGTTTTTAGTTACTAACAATCACTACTCATAACTTCTTAGAGAGGTTATGTTTTCGTTTATTGTCAGTGCCACTGAAAGTGATGCAACGACTTATTGTATAATCAGCTGATTTCATGTAATCACGTGTTTGTAAAACTTCGTTAAAAAAATAAGTTACCTTTATCAGGGAATAGGTTCTGCTAGCAGCATTCTTACCATAAATACTGTATCAGGTACAATTAGGGAAATATTGCATTTAATTTTTTTTTTTTACAACTGAATGATTATAGTGAAAGAGTTAATTTACAGTTAGATCTCAGCATCGAATATTATAGAATATTATAAGCAGTTTGTGCTCTCATTTCCATCTCGTCAACTTCACTTTCACTAAATGACATTTTTAAAACAGTTTAGTCTACCTTCCTTTAACTTCCACCAACTTAGGTTAAGAATACGCGAGTATCAACAGGAACAAGTAAGATCAACAATTAAAATTGTCAACTGATCAACTGATCAGCTGATCAGCTGATTAGTTGACGTTTGAAGCATTACAATTTTTATTCTTTTCTCTCAATACTTGAACCTCATTGGTCCGTTACCTGTGTTGATATGAGAAAAACTATGCTGATATGAAATGAAACTATGCTGATATGAAAGTAAACAGCTGTTAAGTGAAACTTTTCAACTCTAAGAACTGAACTGAAATGGCTACTTTAAGAAACGGCCGTAGGTAAACCTCTGTTACAATCACCCACTGCAGTTGTGATTTTTTTACTTTACACTTTACACAATCGCCATTGAAGCGCCGTAAATGAGTGGAAACCTTGTTTGTAAGCTATTGGCGACGATCATTAAGTGTCTCAGCCATATACAACACTGATTCAAGGTCTTTTTTCTGGTTATCAAAACTCAAGAACAATTTTATACACAATGAATTTCTGGTTCCTGACCTGGATGATGCCTAGTTATTTAATTTCATTTACGGTTACACTATGATATTGCACTTGCGATTAATTAAATCCTTCATGTAAGAAACAAGTTTTTAATCTCACTTGTTTGGGATTTGCTTTCAAAACGTGATTCGAAATGGTTGCGGTATTAGTAAACAACATTTGTAAACATATCAGTGACAGCTAGAAAAATAATCTTCATCCGAACAGCTGTTCGTTATTTCATAGACGATTATGTGATAAAAATTGAACGAAAATTTGACAAAAACCGCACAAAACTGCATTTTTCAACGTCCGTAATTTTATTTACAAAGTAGTGAGGCCATATTTTAATCGCTAAAGACACTCTCGCCAATCCAGTGAATAAATTAAAATGACTTGGATCTTGATAGGTACTCTCGTTTTCATGGAGAAGATTGCGTAAAATGCCATCTTGAGTGTTAGAGACAGACAGAAAGACAGACAGACAGAAATAGAAATATAACTTGTTTCTGCTTCTTTAATGTATAAAAAGTAAAAATAACCTAAAAATATATAATTCTGAGCAGTGTACAGACAAAACTCTATTTATATAGATTCTTTTTAACTTAATCTCAGTTAAGTAATAATATACTTTTCACCGTATAATGAAGTTTTAATAATTAATACACAATATTAAAACAAACATTAACTCGCCAATCTGGTTGATGTTGCTTAGTAATGGTATGGTAACCATACCTTCAAAATATTCATCATTCATAAGTTCAAAACATTCAATTATTGATAACTATCTTCTTTTCGGCATTAGTTCACTGTGTTTTACTGACCAATCATTTTGGTTTAAGGAATTTTTGTTTATCAGGGTGTCCACCAGGCCAACCGGAAAAAATCATGAATAATTCATGAGTAAAAAAAAATTCCAGGTAGTTTAGGTCGTACTTTTTATACTAAAATTTCCAACCTGTTTTGCGCCAACTCCCGCAATGCTGTTTTAGCGCTAACACAGCTCGCTATTTTAGTTATCGGAAAGAGCATTCTCAGTTAAAGAAACCAAATTTATGATTACTGTAATATTGCCTGACATAAATATTCAATTTTTATTTATTTCTGATTAAATAATCCGAAAATTAAAAACTAATCCTTAAACCTGCAATTTATTAATAGCCTAACTTCTTAAAAATAGTGATATGTGGATACGGTACCAAAATTTAACGAATCTCTGTACAGACACCTGAAAAATAGATTCTTAATACTAAACATTTCAATTTTACCAAATTTTCTGAAGGATTACTACACCAACCCCTGTCTTTATGTACTTTCATGTAGTATGTAATTTTGGAGTTGTTTTTCAAGTGGCCTACAGAAATAATGCAGAAATTACAAAAATTGCACATAGAAAATTTTAGTTTTAAACCCTTCTACACACATTAAATAAATACCACATAAAAGGTAAATGAAGATATTAAAAAAATATATAAAAATAAAACTTTCCAGAAGCGTGCCATTTTGAAATTTTTGGTCAAGCCAAACTCGAGGTTATGTCGTGATCATCTAACACAGTCGTTTTCTGCGATAACTGAGAAATCCTGAATATCCCACTCAGTAACAGAAACATCACCACTGTCTTCCGTGATCGTCACGGAAACGTCATCGTCATCTCCCGCGGTCAAGGAAACGTCATCGTCGTCTCCTGCGGTCACGGAAACGTCATCGTCGTTTCCTGTGGTCGCGGAAATGTCATCGTCGTCTCCCGCGGTCATGGAAACGTCATCGTCGTTTCCTGTGGTCGCGGAAATGTCATCGTCGTCTCCCGCGGTCACAGAAAAGTCATTGTCGTCTCCCGCGGTCACGGAAACGTCATCGTCGTCTCCCGCAGTCACGGAAACGTCATCGTCGTCTCCCGCGGTCACGGATATGCCAATGTCGTCATGCGCGATCGCGGCAAAATCACTAACAAATCCCACGGCAGTTGGACATCATCGTCGTCTCCCGCTTTCACGGAAACGTCATCGTTGTCTCCCGCGGTCACGGAAACGTTATCTACACCTGCGATCACGGAAACGTCATCGTCATCTCTTGCGGTCACGGAAACGTTGTCTACACCCGCGATTACGGAAACGTCATCGTCATCGTCATCTCTCGCGGTCACGGTAACGTCATAGTCGTCATGCGCGATCGCGGCAAATTGAAAATTCCCGTTAAAATACGAAATTCACGCATAATTCCCGGATTTCCCGGTCGGTGGACAACCTGTTTATGTTATATAATACTGGGTTAATTTTATGGTGTGGTGAAAAAATGGTTTTGAACCTCATGCAAGCATTCTGTTTAACCTTGGTGCAAAATATTTGCTACTTTTCTGGCAAACCTAGCGCATTCATCTATTAAAGAGATAGTAGACAGGAGATACCCATCATTCTGATTTAATCTGAGTGCAAATATCAGGAAACAATTTAATCTGGTAAAAGCATTTTTATATATTACCTACATATATAGTACCTAGTACCTAGTACATAATAAATATAGGATTCTTTATTTTGCTAAAAAAAGTCAAAAAAACAAATCCTATGTAACATAAACATTGAACCCATTGTGACATGGATTTTTGCATTAACAACATGAAAAGCATGGGTTTTAAGCTATTTTTTTTACCTAATGTGCTGCTTAGTAAATAATTTTTGTTACATAAGCCATTAGGCCTACAGAAGAAAACTAATTAAGCATAATTTCATGTCTTCCAAAACTTATAAATTGTACTTTAAAATTTGCATCTGATTGGATTGATAAGTTAGTTTATCTTAACATATTATCTAGACAAATCCTTAAATAATATGAAATTTTCTAATACAAAAATGTCTATATAAGTTCATTCTTTAAGGCTTTCCGCAAAAATTTACTCAAAACATAGTATAATAGTTCTATATAACAAAATTAATAACAGAGCTCTAGGAAAAAACAAAAGTAGTAAATTAGGAAAATATTTATTTATTCAAATAATATAAACTACAATGAAACAAACATTAAAACTTAAAAAAGTTTTATGAAACAAATTTTAGAAATCATATAAATAATAACATTCAATAATAAAAAATGAATGTGCCCTAGTGTATGTCCGAACCTATCAAAATCTATTTACCTGACAACATTTTGAACACTCATATGGACATCATCTTAAACTTGTGGGAAAATTTACAATCAGATGAAGATTTATAGTCAAAGAAAAACTATACAACCAAACATGTTATTAACAACACTGGCCCTTTGGTTGTAATGAATTAGAGATTATGTTTTCAATCCCATGACATAATTGCAGAATTTTCCATGTTCCAAAACTTAAAGTGGTACAGTATATTGAAATTATTTGAATTAAGATAACAAAATTAAATCAGCATTATATCATACATTAATTAAGGAATCATATTTATAATTGTAAATTAAGAGAAATTACAGTATTTATAACTAAACAAATGTTTAAAGCTAATTTGAATGATTAGTAAGTACAAAGCCAAAAAATTAATACAGTACCTAATAAAGATAGCAAATACAATAATTAAATTTACCCAAGGAATGTATAAAAAAACGGAAAAATTCTTATAAAATTAACTGAGAAAGATTATGAGATTCTGTAGTAAAATATACATGAATACACATTTGACATAATTAAATGATAACATGTTAATGTCATCAAAATATTTTATTAATAAGCTCTTTTTCTTTTATTTTAATAATTTCACTTAAAAAGTTGATTCTTTATCAAATAGATACCTTTGCATAAAGTATGGCAAGGACTGGAAAATAATAAATAATTTAGCAACTACGTAATCACAGATACAGTGGTAACAGCAACAGGGGAACACTACAACATGGATTACATAGAGTAACACCCATGCTTGACTCACTTATCACAGCCGAGGTAGAGCCCATTCTTGTGGATGTACTCTATGACTGGATCACTGACCAGATACTTGATACTGTCACCACGACGCAACGCTCTCCGAATCTTGGTAGAACTGATCTCATTTGAGATCCATTCAGGCACTATGTGTATGTTTTTCTGCAGACAAACAACAGTTTATTTACCTTAAAACCTCAATATTTAGGCCATACTGTCAAATTTTATAAAACGTGTGGACACAACCAAATTGTGCTTACTTAACTAATAACTGAAAAAAATAAAACCTGCAAATAAAATGTATAAACACCCTAGAGTTGTGTATATAAATGTAGGTTTGTATAAAGATTAGATAAATTAAAAAGAATGTAAAATTAAAATATTATGTTAATATTTTTATTTAAAATGTAAATTAAATTTTTTTATAAATTTATTTATTTTTAATTCACATTTGTAACCATTACTAGTTTACTAATTTTGAACTCACAGTTCCACCAATCTGTCCCTTATAAATAATATTTTCAAACCTATTCAATACAATGTTGCATAGATTGGGAAAGCACAGACCATTCAAGACAAGGCAACGTCTTAAGAGATTACAATATTTAATACTAAAACTAACATGAAATATTAGTTTTAAAACAATGGCAACCAATGGAAAAAATAATACTTAATACATAATGGTTTCCTGTAAAATATTCCTTTTCCTCACCTGATATTTAGAGAGAAGATCTGATTCATAAACAATCTTGGAGGCATTAATATTTTCCCTTGTTATGACAACCAAACCATGTTCTCCTACTATCGTTTCAATCTGAAAGAAATTTTGAGTTATTAAAACAGTGTATTTAAGAGGGGGAAAAGGGGGTAAGGGAGGAAGTTAAAAAAATTGTAGTTGTGGTTTTTATGACATGTTTGAAAACTGTGTACGGTATAGCGCAAAATTTGTCATTAAATAAAATAATCGACAATAAATTTGTAAGAAGAATCATTAGGGAGGGTCAAAAAAATTCTTGGAAAAGTTGCTAAATTGTAAGACAAAAACAGGGTAAAAATATTAAAAATATTGGTTGTTCTCTTACGTTTGTGCATGTGCTCTAAAGTGTGAACAAAAAATTAAAAACTCATATTTTATCAGAAATTTTTAAAATTTAAAATTTTTGATTTTTGACATGTAATTATTGAGAATATCATCTACAAGACACAGAAAAGAAATTGATATTTAAATAATAGTGTTGTATGTTAATATTTTCCAGTTGCGCATCGGCTGCAAATATTGCCAAAAATCAAGAAAAACACCATTTTATACGTCTTATTTAAAATATAATAATCGATATCAAAATGTAATAGGTACGGTACCAAAAAACTGTTTGTACACATTCAGATAGTAACTTAACAAAAACAACAAACGAAGTCAGAATTGATCTTCCGGTCGCGCATAGCAATACAAATTCACTTTAGCGCGGCACTTTTGGGTCAGTGACCAGGGCGACGTCATGTGATTCCGAAGCTGAAGATTAAATTGAACAACAGGATGGTGATGATAATGTATCCCTGTGCTCACAAACCTAAAATTTACGATTTTAGTGACAGCAACCAAGAATATTTACCTAAACTTTCAAAAAGACCTATGGTAGGCAAATGAGGATGGACTTTGACAGTAAGCCTGAACCAGTGTTGGGGAAGCTACTTTTAAAATGTAGCTAGCTACAACTACTGCTACATTTCCAAAAAAGTAGCTTAGCTACAGCTACAGCTACAGTTCCGAAAAAGTAGCTAGCTACAACTACAGCTACAATGAAATGTAGCTACAGCTACAATTTTAGCTACTTTTCCATAGACGTTACGCACAATAGGTAAATGTAAAATTAATTGCAACTACATTTTTATTGAACAAACATTTAAACAAAAAATGTCAGTATTGTATCATTGACTATTAGGCCTATATACCTACAGGTATATATTATAGTCAATGATTGTGTCTAACATTACTTGGAAAACAAATTATTCCTAGATTATATTTAATTTGTTGGCATTATATACCTAACATTAAAACAACAGAACCAAATAGTTGGGTTTCCCATCATATTTAGTACTTATTTTCAAATATTGCATTATTTTTAAGCATCTTATATGTAAATTTCATTAAGTTCAAAGGACATAGGCCTACAACCAAACTATATTTTAAAAGCTCATTTTATTTCTTTAATGTAGATTCATTTATAGATGTCTTGTATAAACAATTAAGACCAATAAAACTGTAAAACGATTATTTAAAAATACTTGTTGGTGTTACAGAGCCTAAGTTAGCCTCCTGAAATTGGAGTTTTATGCCTTTCTTAACTTTTAATGTTAAAAACTACATTGTTACAACTTTTAACCATAGTGATAAGTTACTTTTTCTATGAATAACACTTTTCAATGTCAAGAAATCGTCCTTTATTGTTGTATTATGCATAGGGCAAATTGCAAATTGTGCTTCAACCTAGTTGGTACAGAAAACAGTATTCAGCAACTTATCCTGAAATCGGCTTTTAATTTAAACATGTGGAAATTTGTAAAGTAAAAATAACATATAGGCCTACTTGGCTATGTAACAAGTTGGCTATAGTAGGCTTGTTCTTGCAAGGACTAAACAGATATATTCCTAATAATTGAACTTGGAACTCGGTATTCGTCTTAAACCATAGCATAGCCTAGGAATAGTCTTATACAAGAGCTGTTAGCAGGAGCAAACTATGCTATTTTTTCAACGTAAGTTTCATGTTATATGGAGATTTTTCGTTACAATTATCATTTAGTCTAGGCATATCTTAAATCACGTCAGGTAATTTCTTCTTTGTTAATTTAGTAAACCTTTGAAAAATCTTCGTAATCTAACCAAGGAAGGGCTTGTGATGATGAACTACAATCAACAGCTGAAGCAAAGGTTGATAGACCAGCTTTTTCATTATTTTAAGGTTTAGTGTTGGTTTCCATTAAAACCCAAGTTGAAACACTATCGATATAATAAAGAAACTAAATTGATTACTAATTTCCCTGTCAATCACTTGCAAGCATTCAATAACTTCTCTTGTCACCGCCCACCGGTAACGTTTAAAAGTCGTCTGCATCTAGCGATTTTATTTAGGTGAGCGAAATATCATACAGAGCAGAGCAGGTATGATGACGTCTTTGTTCATACGATCGATAGCTAAGCTAGTCTTTCGATGTGGTTAGTTGGTGCTCGATAGTTTTAGTTTGTTGTTATCGAATAAGTTATAGCAGCTTTGCATTGCATTTGCATCATACCGTACCGTACCTTTCCTGTAAATGAAAATAGCTTTTAGGAAATATAAATAAATAAATATGGAGGTCCAGGTGATAGATAATAAATCCAGTTGGTCTATCAACAAATCACGGAATACATTTAAACACTTATTTAAAATAATATTGTTTACAGTTTTTAAATTTCTGAGTGAACTGCTTGTTCACTATGTTGATCAGCTCTAGAGTTAATTTATTCAATCCAATAATTTGAACTACCCAGTTGTTTTCAAGTAAATCTTAAAAAGGTACTTACTCAACTAAGTACTTATAGGTAGGCCTAACTATATCGATAAGTTACTATTTCTGACAAAATTAAACTATATTTACAGCATTAATTAAGTATAGGCCTAAAGCCTTTGTATTAAGTCTATATTAATTAGGCCCAACTTATGTATAACGGTACAACTATCGTTGTTCATACTTGTGTAAACGTAAACTATCTTGCTTTGATGTAAATGTTAGCTGTTGAAATAGATAAAATAGCCTAAATAAAATAAAGCCTGCCTAACATGTAACTTATTTAATTATTGTATAAGTTACTGTAGTTAACTCAGGCCTACTGATAATCTCCATTGACTTGTTGGATCAAAATCTTTTATAATATTTTTAAGACCTAACAGTGAAATGTCAGTTTTTGTTATCGGTACCTTTCATCCATTAAGTTCTTTAAGTTCGCGCCTTTAGTTCTTAGGGATTCTTATTTCAAACAACAGTGGAGTTTGAGACAGAAATCTACAAGAAATAAGTTAGAAAGGCGCATACTGGATTAAAAATAGCTTTCAAAATCAACATTGAATTTCTTGTCACTGGCTTCATAAATAAAAACTTATTTTAACATTGAAACCAAGATTTGCCCGATGCAAACTATGACGGTGCTGATTCATAATTAAGTAATGGCTAAGTTAGGTTAATAAAATGTAAAGCCTAACTCCCAAACAAAAATTTGCCTAAGTTGACTTTACAACGGCTGTACTTTAGTTTACAACAACAACAAACGGTCTTTGAATTAAGTCAGCAGAACCAGAAGGCACTCCAATCCATTTTCGACTTCCACTACTCCAACAACTCCAGTCTCCAGTCCCTGTTGTCACAGCAAAGCCGTGACCAATAGTCAATCAAATATCGATACGAACTCCAGAACTAACCACATCGAAAGACTAGCTATCGATCGTATGAACGATGACGTCATACCTGCTCTGCTTTGTATGATATTTCGCTCACCTTTTATTTAATCTGACAGTAATCATAGAGTAGTAAATTAAGGAAATGAGAGCAAAAAATGTGGATAACACTAATTTAATGGCCTCCATGTAGACACAACGTTGTATAGGGAATGAAACGGCTGCAACCAGCTGTATGAAGCCAAGAAAGTAGGCCTAAATTTTTGAAAATCTCAGTTTGAAAGGTTTCACGTAAGGTTGAGGTTATGATAAAAATCACTATCTCAAACAATGTTAATGTAGCGAGAAAAGTAGCTAAAATTCCGCTACAACTACTTTAAAAATGTAGCTAGCTACAGCTAAAGCTACAAAATCTTAAAAGTAGCGTAGCTACAGCTAACGCTACAAAAAAAGTAGCGCGCTACTGTAGCGTCGCTACTTGTAGCGCGCTACTTCCCAACACTGGCCTGAACCATCAATTCAAGGGGCTTGCCTTTACTGGGCACATGCGGCAACTGAAACACCTTGTCTGGGCACATCCTTTATCTTTGGCAGGGAGGGTCTGCCCCCATCGGTTCCAGGAATAACTCACGTAGCCAGTGAACTAAAGACGTAACTAATGAACGTAAGACTAATAAAATAAATAAATGCATTTCTCCTATGTGCAGGTTTTATATCGCATATCACAAAGATAGGTTTTACAAAATCTACAATGCTTAGATCCGATGAACACAAATGTTAACGTGATACTCTGTACGAGATACACTGCTGTCAATATCACGATTGTTTAGTAGTTCAATTTGTTGATTTATGAAACGCACCTTTTCTTTCGTTTTCCTGTCTGTTAGTGGGGCACAACGTGGTTACCTTCCCCGTAGTAGCAAACCAAAGCACTCGTTAAATATAATGTTATTGAAATTGGAAATAAATAATGTCTTATTTATAGAAAAAATGTAACCAGACAAGTTGAAATTCGCTTCGTCTGCAGGTTTGCTGCTGCGGGTGTATTTTATTATTCTTGATGCTTTGTAGAAAGTTTTTCAAACATTGTACTTTTGGATATTTGATGTTTAGTTTTATAGATTGAAATTAAGAATGTGTCTTTGATAAATTTCTTCAGATGTCTAGGTCTGATAATCACAAAATTGAAAGTTCTCACCAGGTTTGGTTATTCACAGTGACTTATCGTGAAATGTTGATGTGGCAGTACAAATTTTAATAAAAACAAAAGAATATATAGACCAATGCTCTTCTATTGCTAATAGATATATTTTTATAACCTTTTACCTTAGATAATATACTTATGGATGAGACCCTCACTGAAATAGTATAACAAGAGTAAACTATTGTACGTCACTTGTCCAAAATGTGTTTACCGGACTCGTATGGTAATCCGGTAATCCCACACTCGACTTGGTCTCGCACGGGAACGACCACAGTCGTCCAGTAAACACTTATTTTCAGGACTAGTAACGTTGTGCTTGAGCTGCCATGTCTGATAGACAAGCGAAGTTTATTTTTACTAGCTGTTTGCCCGTTCTACGTGCGGGAATCTTATAGTAAGTTGAAACCTTATATTCAGAACAGGAGTTGGTTTGCAGATATGCTGGAAAAACTATTACTGTATAGGAATACATATAAACCTTCGGAAATACAATATCTGACAGTTTCAAAGCCTACAAAGTCTTCAAAGCTTCTTAGCTACATCTGTAAGTTAAACCTATGTTACGATCACAGAGAAATCAGAAAGATCTCCCAAGATCGCAGCAACAACCACGATCACCCACTGCAGTTGTGATTTTTAACTTTGCACTTTCCACAACTGTCCTTGAAGCGCCGTCAATGAGTGGAAACCTTTAAAAGCTACGGTATTGGTGACGATGTTTAAAAAAATTTAAGTTTCCTTGCACTAATACAACACTGATTCACGGTATTTCCCCCGGTCATCAAAACTCAAGAACAATCGTTGCACTTGCGATTAATTTAACCGGTTAAGTAAGGCACAACGTTTTTAATCTCATTTGGTTTGGATGTGCTAACAAAACTTCATCGAAAATGGTTGCGGTATTTGTATACAACTTTTAATGTAAACATATCAGTGACAGCTAGAAGTGAGAACTAATCCAAACAGCTGATCGTTATTTTATAAAATGTAATAGTAAACATTGGGAGAAAATTTGACAAAAATCGAACAAAATTGGGTTTTTGGTGGTTCGTTTTTTTGTTTTCAAAGAGGCGAGGCCATGTTTTTATAGCCAAAGACATTCTCACCAATCCAGTAAATACAGAAAAACGATTAGAACCTTGATCGGTACTCTAGTTTTCTAGGAGTAGGCCGCGTAAAATGACATTTTGGCGTCACAGACGGAATCATAGAATGGACAAACAGACAAACAGACAGACAGACAGAAATTGAGATAAGACTCGTTTCGGCTTTCTTAGGCTATGAAACGTAAAAATAACCAAAAACTGCATGATTCTAAGCAATTTACAGACAAAACTGTAATTTTATTTATATAGATTTCACACAAGAGGTTCATTGTTGTTGCCAGCTGTCTTTCAAATGTGTGCTGTGTATCAAATCACTTCACTTATATTTTGGCTTTTGAAAAATTATCCAATGTTGGGATTTTAGGATTAACTTAACCCTTGTTTTGATTAACATGTAACATTGCAATTTCACTAGTCACTCGGGATTTTCTAGGAATTCATTGCCGCGCGCCGTCTGCCTGGCGTGGACCATGTGCCCAGCCAAGGCGAGGATTAGTGAACCCTTTTTGGCTTGTGCCCAGTCAAGGTTCGTCCAATTGTCTTCACCTTCTGCAAAGTTGAGTGGTAGTGTCTTGAATTGGACGAACCTTGACTGGGCACAAGTGTAGCACAATTCAAGACACTACCTCTCAACTTTGCAGAAGGTGAAGACAATTAACTGTTGGCTCCATTGACAGTGTTGCCATTATTATTTAACTTTGATCCAATTCATGTCTTAACAATCATGAACTCTAAATGTTATAAGGAATTGTATAGGCTATATTTAATATTAGGAATTGTATATTGTTATATGAATTGAAATATTCTTCTTGAATATAGCTTGCACTATCAAAATCAACAAAATATGAAACCAAACTTATATTAAGTAAACTAACTAACTGAAGGATATGTGGACTCACATCCTGGTCCAGCCAGAGGTTGGGCACACTGAAGGACTGAATGACATCAGCTCCACACAGAAGTTTGACCACCACCTTGTCATCTCTGTTGCAATGTTCCAACACATGACTGAGCCACTGTTGCTCCTCACATCGCTGTCTCTTGTTGGGCGTTTCGTTACACGACAGTGCTGCGTTCAACTGGTTCTACACAAGGTAAAATGTAGTTACAAAGGTACTTTGACATTTGACCACCACCTTGTCATCTCTGTTGCAATGTTCCAACACATGACTGAGCCACTGTTGCTCCTCACATCGCTGTCTCTTGTTGGGTGTCTCGTTACACGACAGTGCTGCGTTCAACTGGTTCTACACAGGGTAAAATGTAGTTACAAAGGTACTTTGACATTTGACCACCACCTTGTCATCTCTGTTGCAATGTTCCAACACATGACTGAGCCACTGTTGCTCCTCACATCGCTGTCTCTTGTTGGGCGTTTCGTTACACGACAGTGCTGCGTTCAACTGGTTCTACACAGGGTAAAATGTAGTTACAAAGGTACTTTGACATTTGACCACCACCTTGTCATCTCTGTTGCAATGTTCCAACACATGACTGAGCCACTGTTGCTCCTCACATCGCTGTCTCTTGTTGGGCGTCTCGTTACACGACAGTGCTGCGTTCAACTGGTTCTACACAGGGTAAAAAGTAGTTACAAAGGTAATTTGACATTTGACCACCACCTTGTCATCTCTGTTACAATGTTCCAACACATGACTGAGCCACTGTTGCTCCTCACATCGCTGTCTCTTGTTGGGCGTCTCGTTACACGACAGTGCTGTGTTCAACTGGTTCTACACAGGGTAAAATTTAGGCTAGTTACAAATGTTCTTTGACATTTCAACACCATTTTTTGTCCTCTGTTGATATAACTAGGTTCCTACACAAGTGGACTAACCTCAGAAAACTATACTTATCCATTTAAGGTAAGTTTACCGTAAAACAGAAACTAAGATATAAAATGCAAATAATAGTTTATATTGGGTAACCTTAAAATGGTTGATCACAAATTATTTAAATTTCAACTATTAGAATATTAAGACTAGAGATGACAACTTGAGGTTTCCTACCTGATGATGTTGCAGCACTAATCTTGTCCTTGTCCAATGGTCTTGCCTACTTTCCCATTCACTTAGTTTTATCCAGTTTGAGGTGTTGAGAGCCAATCGGACCATTTCACATCTGTCAGAGGAATATGCCAAGTCTTTTTTACCGTATTTGTCGTGAACAGGGGACATGAGACCACCAATAACTTTGAACTGTCCAGTTTTTTCCAAATAGTCTCTGGCAATTTCTGAAATAATAAAGTGATTATCATCCAAACTAGCATTACTTGAGCTTTTGGCAGATCTATTTAATTAACATATTATTTTATGTTTGCTGCTACCTTATTTATTTCTATAAGTTTTACGTGTGTAGCCTAATAACTAATGCAGGCAATAAGTTAACATGTTCACTGCGTTGTATATTTTCCTGCATTATTCCAATGGTGCGTTACGAGATCTATAGGTCTCGTCCGCTATGATTACCCAGGTGCAAAGACCTAGCAAAGAAAGGAGAGAGAGCGCTGAAATAAACCTCTAAATGTTGTCATTTTATTTTTGTCTTAACTAATAATAGAAATGATGAGGTACAGATGTTATTGGATACAATGTTTAATGGTAAATAAGTGGTTACAAAAATTCTCGAGGGGTGGGGATTCGTGCAGACTGAATAAAAAGATTTCTTTGAATACAAATGCAATAAGTTAAGATGTAGATTGAATAATAATTTAGAAACAATAATATAGTAAGATGATTAATTTTTCTTTTCTTTTGTTAATATTTGAAATATGGAGGCAGTTTTAGTCCCAAAATGGATCCTGGAGATGTCTATAGTTTGAGTTAATAATAAATGGAATGTTCTCACCTATCTTCTATAATAATAATTTACTTCTGAATAATGTAGGCCTAAATTCTTCTTTCTTCAGTAAATTTGAATATTTTGACAATACTTTATTTTATAATTTCACAATTTATTTCACAACTACAGTAATAGTTTCTGTATGTTCTTCTTGGATACCTTAACTGCACAGTCACTGTTCATTGTTGTAAATCATTTATTAAATTATGGGGTTCTCATCAATAAAAACATGGTTGAATTTTATTGATAATCTTGAACCCAGATGCAGTGTATTTAAAATGGAGGAATTGTTTTGAATAATAATTTTGAATAAGCCAATGAATAAATTTTGATTATGAATTATAAATATGTTGAGACAATATAGTGCAGTAGAAATAGTGTTTGAGGTGGAACTAATTGCAACATAAATTATTCCAGTTAGAAATGGTAGGTAATACACTTATAAAAAACATACTAAAAATATACATTTGTACTGTTACGCAAAATACGGTTTTTTGGCCGCCATTTAAAAAAAGTGTAAAATTTTGTGTTAAAAAATCTGGTTTGGTATCAAATTATAGAACAGTACCTGGGGACCGAGCTTTGCTCGGGGAAAATCATTAGTTCACTCTGAAAGCACCTTAGTATTGGAGATACATAAATCCATTCCCAAACTCCACACGGCTCGCCTTTACCACCATTTCCTACGTCATGGACCTGTTTCCCTCCATTCCCATTGCATTTAAAGATTGCAGATACCTTAATCTAATCGTCATAAACAGTTCCCACACTCCGGACTACTCGCCTTGACTACTTCCTTCACCACTTCCTACGTCGCGGACCTGTTTCCCTCTCTTTCCATAGAATTTTAGGATTGCCCATACCCTTATCTAATCGTCATAAACAGTTCCCACACTCCAAACAGCTCGCCTTGACTACTTCCTTCACCACTTACTATGTCGCGGACCTGTTTTCCTTCCTTCCCATATCATTTTAAGATTGCAGATTCCTTAATCTAATCGTCATAAACAGTTCCCACACTCCGGACTACTCACCTTGACTACTTCCTTCACCACTTCTTACGTCGCGGACCTGGTTTCCTCCCTTCCCATAGCATTTTAGGATTGCAGATACCCTAATCTTATCGTCGTAAACAGTCCCCACAGGGACTGCTCGTCTTTACTACTTCCTTCATCACTTCCTACGTCACGGACCTGTTTCCCTCTATTCCCATAGCATTTTATGATTGCCTTTATTACTTCCTTCACCACTTCCTATGTCGCGGACCTGTTTCCTTCCCTTCCCATAGCATTTTAGAATTGCAAATACCTTAATCTAATCGTCATAAACAGTTCCCACACTCCGGATAGCTCGTCTTGACTACTTCCATCACCACTTCCTACGTCGCGGACCTGTTTTCCTCCCTTTCCATAGCATTTTAGGATTGCAAATACCTTAATCTAATCGCCATAAACAGTTCCCTCACTCCGGACAGCTCGTCTTGACTACTTTAATTAATTAATGAAAGGTGTGTTGGGGACCAGAGGACGGAGATCTTTTACCCAGACCGGAAGCTTGCATAGCCAGCTTTGATTTATGCTAACACAACTAATTTACTAAAAACTATCCTTCCAAAACTTGTGACCTAGGAAATGACTATTAATGAAATGATTGACTGGTGATTGAACTACTTAAATAGGAAATGCCTAACAATTTATTGAAAGGAACTATGGAAACTTCTGGGGAAAACGTGTTGCCCTAATCATGTTGAAAATGGTCCGAGCCTGAAGGGCTCGACCAGTAAATTTCCTAATTCCTACATTTCTAATAACGGACGACCCTTGTAGGTCTCCCCCCCTTATTGCTAACTAGCCTGACATATTAACCTAGTATATAATTTATAATTATTCTAGTAACTTAGCCATTTAATAGATTTTTCAGTGCGAGCAGCTCTTCTGTGGGAATTCTTGATAGTCGTTGGCGGTGAAGTGGGAAGAAGGTTGGGAAAGGTCGGTGGGGGAAGCCGTTCGCTTGCTCGAGGTGGGCTGACGAGTTCGCCATGCAGCCCTGCCACACGAAGCGCTGACACTATAAGAAATATAGCGTGCCGCTATGCGTCACATGATAAAACTTTGCAGATTTATTTATTTTATACCAAACAATTAATATTTTACTAAAAACACACTTAATTAGTTTCCTTGTAGCAGCAAACCTTGGTACTCGTTTCGTTAAACCTAATGTTATTTATAGACTAGCAACAGAGCCCATTGCGGTTAAATACAACGGTCTCTAATAAAATAATGGTTATGAAATCCATACACCACTTTACTCGCTAATATTTGGTACCTACGGATTAAGCTCGAATAACATTAGAATCACACACTAAGAAACACACTTTAAACACAAATGCAAATTGTTAACAACAATATTTAATCAAAGAAAAATCAACTTAATAACGATACCGTAGCCTACTGTAAAACAATAAGCTGTTAAAATATTAACTCATTTTTCGTATGATTAGATTATGCATACTGGTAAATCAATTATTGCCATCAATAAAAATAATTGGTTTTTCTTTTCCGAGTCGGGTTAGCTCTTTTACCAGACCGATTTTCATAATTTTGGCCTTAAGCCGGGTTTACACTATGTAGCTAAACCTGCTATATAGCAGATTTGTGTGATATATTAGCAATGTTATATAACATTTGCTAGAAGTAGAAAAAGTAACTTTACAAAAAGTGCTATATAACACTGCTATATGTAGCAGATCCTGCTATATATAGCTAAAGTTGTGCTATCCATCGGGAGTCGGTAAATATCAAAAGAAATACGTTCTACATCTAACATTGCCATATGTAGCAATGATATACATATGTTTTTCGTCTAGCACCTGCCATATGTAGCATTTAGTGCACACAGTTCACAGTTGTGTAGCCTCCTGGGTGCGAACGGTTTTGCTCAGCGATCTTTGTTTACAATGAAAGGACTGGAAACTGAAAGTGACAGCGCGTAGGATCGGGATACAATTAGGCTGCACTTTGCGTTACGTCCTACACTCATTTGAATGAAAATATCGGTTATTCGATTGTTTCATTCGATATATCGTTTGGTTAGTTAGGTTAGGTTAACCTTACCTAACTAACCATACAATATAACTTATCGAATATTCGATATATCGACCGATATTTTCATTCCAATGAGTGTAGGACGTAAAGTAAAGTGCAGCCTGCAATTATAAACTTAATTAAACTGTTCCGTTGGACAACTGGCGTTGTGGTCATACGTAAAACGTTTTTGAATTTACCGTCGCCTTATTTTGCGTTTTAATTATGGATTGTCAGCGTATTCGTCATCATTAAGGTCCCGTAATAAATTTGCTACACTTTACTTATATCTCGAAGCAAGAAGCGGTCAAACCTAAAACTTGCTAAAATCTTCGCTTCCGTCTCTCTCTCTCTGACTCCAAGATCACCGCGATAGCTGCCACGAACAATGTCTCTTCAGCGCACATTTCGATACGGAATGCGAATGAGGTTGTGCTACATATAACATATAGCACGAGCACCAGAATCACTAAAATTGTCTGTAAATTTTTCATACAGCAAAAGTTATATAGCAATGTTATATAGCAAAAGTTATACAGTATAGCAGGTTTTGTTACTTAGTGTAAATCTGGCTTTAAACTAAAGCTATGGACGCACTATAGATTTGCCATCAAGCATCAGCACTCATTTTGACATATATTTTGAGTTATGCACAAACTGCAGAACACTTATTTTATCCAGTTTAGTTTTCATTCAAAAAGTTAATAATTTATTTACAATCACAACAAAACATTTGTCTTAATCAGATGTAAATAAAAACATTTGCTATACAGTCTCGTGGCTTAACGTAGCGATTGGTTACGGTTTGCTGCTACAATAAAACTAATAAAGTGTGTTTTTGGTAAAATATTAATAGCTTAGTATTATTTTTTTTCAGGGAGAGGAGGGAAAATGCTTTTACGCACACAGGTAGCCAGCCAGCCTGTGGTGTGAGGCTCCTGAATTTATCAAACTACTCACTAAAACTCTACTCTGTTGGACACAGACCTGGAATTGTTTGTCACATTATTTCAAGTCAGGCCAACATGTGACCTAAGCCCTCAGGGCTCTCACCGTTTCTGGCATTTAAATTCTTTATGGCCTAAACCGCATCCCGGTCAAGGTCGAGCTTCTTGGCGCGGAGAATATCCTGGATGTAATGTGACACACAGGTCCAATTGTCCTTACCCTCCGTCATCATTGGTATGACCCTTTCTACCGGCAATTGTCCTATTAACTGTTGAGCCTCCAGGCGGGGCCTTTCCCAATGCTGGTAGTGGAAAAAGGTATGTTCCACGTCATCAGGAATGCCTGGGCAGTATATGCAATCGGGTGACACAGCTTTGCCATAAACAAGTACGACCGGAAAAGCCATGACCCGTCAGAAATTGCGTGAGTTAGGAGTCTATCTCTCCGCACCGCTGATTAACCCAAGGTTGGACTTGCTGTATCAGTTGCCTGGTCCAGCGTCCCCGTGTCTCCTGTTCCCAGCTCTCCTGCCACAGCTGGTAGGTGCACGCGTTCCTCTGTTCGTGCCTGGTCCTCCCCACTGCGCTGATAAATTGCGTTTCCTTCTGCCGCCAAAAGTTTGACGGGGATGACTCCAGCAACCACCAAAACAGCGGTTTCGGACACTGTTTGGTAGACAGATGCTACCTTTAGTGCTGCCTGACACTGCACTCTGACGAGCCGCATCCTATATCTCCTTATTGAGAGCATCTGCCCACACCTCCGCACTTTTTATATAGTACATTGCAGAGTTGACTGGCAGTCCTCCAAATGTTAATATTGCGTACTGGCTTAGTGATAAATCACGATCAGCTGTATTGAAGTTTCCAAACAAAAATCTGCAGTAAATGGCTTCTAATGCTATTCTTATGGAGAACATTTTACGTAATACCCTATCTAATTTTGTGTTAAAATTTTGGGAATTTCACTATTTTTCCTGCCATCTCCGGATCGAGACTAACTTAGGGTTGCCATGGTAATGTGTAAAAAAAAGAGGAGATTTTAGCTGGCGGTCCCCACTATAATATTGAATCAAATTGAACGGGCTAGCAAAATTGTATTCCTAGTACATAGCCAAAGTATTATCAGAAACTGTATGGGTCATAAATTTAAACTTAAACAAAATTATGTCAATGGCCCGAAAATAGACATGATTTATTATTATTTATGGAACAGTCAAAAAACATCCTAACCAGTTGTTACCTAGCCTAGATTGACATTTGGGCCAGTGACATAATTTATTTATATTTATTAGTCCATACCGTTCCTGTTCAATATTCGTGCTACATTGTCAATATTTAAACGGTAAGTTATAGGCCAATGCAAACATATAAAATGTTGCATCGCTTGTCACATCTAACAATACCGAATAACCGAATACAGGTAACAAAACGCTCTATGTCTGCTAGGCTTTAGAAGTGAAAACGGATACCTTCGGACTGGCAAGCAGACGCAAATTAAAGGACTGGGAACATTGAGCAATGAAACAGACGATGAAGATAAACTAAAGTACTTTCCTGTTAAAGGGAACATTCATTATTATCGAAGATTTTTTTTCGATACCGGTACCGGTAACTTCTATCAATATTTTTGTTTTACTTCACGATCTGTATTCCTTCTGTTTTAATATCTTCAAACGCATTTACAATACAAATTGATAACTAACCTTGTTTAGGCAAAAATTATAGCCCATTTTTGCCGATGACACTACTGCTTTGATCAAAAATAATAATACAGCTGAAATGTTTTCTTCTCTGCAAAGTGTGGTAAAGGACATGGAGCAATGGTTTTTAGAAAATGGGTTAAAACTTAATGTTGAAAAAAACAAATATTATTAAATTTTCTACTAGACACAAAAATATGGAAAACTGTTCCTTTAATTTAGTTGAAGCTCATAAATTCTTAGGGGTTTACGTAGATGACGCAGTTAAATGGGATTCACATTTGAATTATTTACGTAACAAAATTAGGTCAATATCATCTTTATTCATACATTTAAGGGACTGTGTTTCTATTGAGACACTTAAAGTAGTTTATCATGCTTATGTGGAGTCAGTGTTAAGATATGGCATAATTTTATGGGGACAAGCTACTGGTATTAAAACTTTATTCAGGTTACAAAAACGTATTATTCGTATTATTACCAACTCTCATCCACGCAGTTCTTGTAAGAAACATTTTCAAAATTTAAGAATTCATACATTAACGGGGTTGTATATTCTAGAATTATTAAATTACATACATTCAGTTAAAAATGAGCTACCAGAAACAATGCATTTTAATCACAGGTATGAAACCCGAAATGAAAATATATTTAGACTCCCCAGACACCGTTTGACCCTATATGAAAAATCTCCATTGTACGCTGGGCTGAGATTGTACAATGTGCTTCCGCCATGCTATAAGTCATTAAGCAGAACCAAATTTAAAGATACAATAGATAATTTTCTTATTGACAAGGCTTTTTACTTAATTGAAGATTTTTACAGAACTACAATTTAGAATTTTTTTTTTAAGTGTTTAATTTTAAGTTAAAAGTTTTAATGTTAAATATTTTATGTATGGATTTAATTTTGACAATGCACCTATTCTAAATGTTATGACATGTATGGAATGTTTTGTGCAAATAAAGTCTATGTCTATGTATGTCTATGTCTATGTCCATAGGCCTACATATATTGGATTAGGAAATGAAACTATTCTAAACTAACCTAACATAACTAACCAAACTTGCTGTGTTACCGTTTCAAAATTCCGTTTGATAACAGAAAATGCATATGGGGAATAGGCTATCAAACGGAATGTTGAGATGTTACAGCAAGTTTGGTTTGTTAGGTTAGTTTCCTACTGTAGGTAGTTTTATCTAATATATAAAATTCTCGTGTCACAGTGTTTGTCTGCAAACTCCTCCGGAACGACTTCACCGATCGTTATGAAATTTGGTGTGTAAATTCTGTAGGTATGCGAATCGGACGTAAACTATTTCCCGTTTCGAAATTCTTAAAAGGGCTCCGCCCCAGTGGCTCTGGAGTTTCCCATGTTAACCTTATGAGAAATGGAATTAATGAATCTTAACAGCTGTTTCAATTAAACAAGTTGGTTCTGTTCTATGATGTTCAATAGCATTAAAGTTACAAGGATTACCAACAGGGTGCAGCACTATTATTTCTTTTACATTTATGACAACAGCTAATTTGCAACCAAAAGGTGAGTGAGCGTAGCGAACGAGCTAACCTGAAGGCAAGTGAGCGCAGCGAACGAGCTCCAACCTAAAGGTGAGTGAGCGTAGCGAACGAGCTCCAACCCAAAGGTGAGTGAGCGTAGCGAACGAACTTCAACCAGGACGTGATTGAGCGATGCGAACGAGATCATCTTGAAAATTAAACGTAACGGTACTTTCTTTCCATCGGTCTGTCTTAGGGGAAACCTATAACTTAGGCGATACGAAGTTCGCCGGGTCAGCTAGTTTCATTATAATATTTTTTTATTGTTTGTTGATACTGAACAATATTTATTTACTGCATCCTTGTCGTAGTTGTCACCTTCAATTTGTTATAAACAATATATAGAATAGAAAAAAATATATGGTTATATAGAAAAGAAATCATTGATAATAATGAATGTTCCCTTTAACAGGAAAGTACCGACTTTGCTGTCCAAAGTGAAACCAAGGAATAAAAACTTACTTAAGTATCCTCAGAGAGAGTACGAGAATTGCATTTTTCTATTGCATAGGCTAACAATATTTGCAAACACAAACATTTATTTTATTCCAAAATTGGTGTTATATGTTGTGTAAGTTATTTTAACCCTCCGAGCGTCCATCGTCGAAAAATTGACGCGCTACACACTTTGTGTAGTGTCACGCGTCGATTTTTCGACGCACGAACATCGTTTACGGGGAAGGCTATGACTGACTGAATCGGATTGAACTGGATCGAGTTAGGTATCGTTCTTTCCGTTATATTCTAAGCTTTCTCCAGAGGTCTGTCTCAGCACTGTATGTTCTCCGAGCCGATCGTAATTGTAGCAGACAGCTGACGTGCGTATTCGTAAACAGCTTGGTTATCCTCGGACCGATGACTGATGTGTTTTATTATGTTTATCATTGTTTTAGTGTTAAAAATCAAAAGTAGTGATATACGTGGTGCATTATAAGAAGATTTAAGTGATTTTGAAGGGCTGGTTGATGATCCTGAAGAAGTAGGTAGTGATATTGATGTAAATTATCAGCCAGATTCCTAGCTATGGTTAGGCTATGCATTCTTAGCTAAACGCTAAGTATGTACTGAAATCCGTTTTTCACTCATAACTTATTTATTTGATAACTTACCTCACTATATGATTATATATTTGTAATCCTCATTAAATTTAGAACAAAGTGGCTATTTTCAAATATTTATAGGCCTATAATTTATACAATTTCATTGAGCGCGAACTTATTTTTTTTTCAATTTTTCCAAAATAATTTTTTTTTACCTAAAAAAATTTTTTGAAACAAATATTCCTTATGTTTTATGTATGATATTGAAGCCCATGATTTTCCAAACAAAATGGTATATAGAACATTAGAATTAACATTGTTTTAAGCTTCTCAGATCCGTTTTAATAAAACCTTGCAAATGCGCCAAAAATAGGTGGACATTAACTTAAGGCCTAAACTATGGACACTTGGAGGGTTAATAGAGTTTGAGGAGATTTCTCGCTTTTTGCAGAAATCCCCCTGAGCTAAATTTTGAACGTCAAATCTCCGGGAAAATCAGGGAATATGGCAACCCTATCTCTGATATTAGTCCCGCATTTGGCTGGCAAAGTATGGCACAGTTAACGCTAAGAGACAATAATCCCAGTGGTAGGTTGTTATCTATATACATTTTAGGCATTCATGTCCCATAAATCATGCTAGTTAGGCTATAACTCATCAAGCCAATTCAAGTTAATTGTCTGGGTAGCCGAGTGGTTATAGTGCTCGCCTTCAAATCTGAAGGTCGCTGGTTCGAATCCAAGCGAGATCGTTTCCAGACCCAGATGCCATTTGTCATTGGGCTATGAATTAATGATGCTATCTAACAAAAAGGTCAACGTTAGATAGTAACAAGACCAGGTTTTGGACCGTTCCCTTTCAAAACGTAAAAAATGCCACTGGTGTCTCAGACCTAAATACACACAAACAAAAAAATCACTTTAGTAATGGTCAAGTCCAGTCTTGATGATCCTTTCTTTATATTTTATTAAATCCATTAGTCTGCATTAATGAGATTTTACAGTACTTTTGTTTTTTTGATAACCAAATAAAACTCACCTAGCATTCTTAGGTGCATTACAGTTGGTGGGTTAAACGAGCCCACAACCAGCAAAACAACTTTGACTAGAGGCATTGTAAAGGTTGGCCTTTTAAAATATATTTCACAACATTGTATTTCCTTCAAAACCCTTTACTTCAATAAACACTTGACTTCAATTAATTCGGTTAAATTTTACATAGGCCTATATATAATGTTAGTGATTCAATTGAAATTTAAAGCTATTCAAAAATGCACATAAAAATCTAGACTAGAACACTAGAACTCTTCTTGGCTTGGGTCTTGTCTTGGCAGACGACGAGCGACGAGACACACAACAACACAACTCAAGTCAAGTCAAGTCAAGTCTCAACTCAACACAACGACAACGTAGGTCACAAGAAACGAGACCTTACCTTCAGACCGCCACCGCCCACCACCGCGCCGTGCAGAACGCATCATACCGTGCATCAGCGAACACATAACAAAATAGAAGCGCTACTCGGAGCGCAGGAGCGTGGCAGTCTTACTAGCCGGCGAAACGGACAAAGATGGCGGCGCTAGCCTAGTCCCAGCGTCTGCAACGCGCTGGTCGTCTGCTATGCTTCGAGTCAGTGTTGTTTACATAGGCTTTGTTTAGATGTAAAAATACTTTTGTATACAAATTACTTAGGTTTTTGTGGAAGTACATTGTCGTAGTAGTATATTGTTGGAAATATCTTAAAGTAAATCGATTGTTTTTACTGTATTATTGCCGACATAACATTTATATAATGAAAACCTTTACCCTTAAGTTTCTATAATGAATTATTCCTAACTGATTAGACAAGCACAAATTCGTGTAGGTTGATGTTAGCCTTCCGGATTACCATTAAACACAAACATAATTACTCTATTTTAATGATAAATTAAAATAACAATAACCAGCATGTACTCTGGACGGAAAAAAAGGAGTAAACTATAATATAAATTAAAACTGGTCTTAATTTAAGTAGTGTTACACGTTACGAAGTAAATTATTTATAAAAAAATAATTGAATAATTTATGAAGAAAATAATAATAATAATTCTTTTGAGTCTAGAATCAAATAAGAGATTTATAAATCTTATGTTATTGTCATCCTTTCTGTACTGTAGCTTGAAATACATTAGAGGTAAGTAACCTCCCTGCTCTACTGGCCTCACTTATACGCGGCTTCAGGCTGTGTATTGATCACTCAGGGGTTGATTTTTAAAATTTCGATTACACAGTAAAAATTTGTGATTTTTTCATTTGTATTAGAACAATAACACAATCTGTCTCATTGTTAATCGAGGAACAAACCATGCATTTATTACTGGCAAAGGTGAACGTACTACCTGCTGTAAATTGTAATCGTAGGCATATGGTACAACTATTCGACATATTGTTTGGTCCAAAACATAAAAAGTCAATACTTGGAAATGTAAAACATTGTACAGGGATGTCCCATTAATCCTTACGTTACTCCGAATGGATTTCATTTGCAATTTCTTAGATTTCCCTTTTACGACAGCCCATTCCAGTTTTTGGGGTGTCGGGTCACTCGGGTTAGTTCACCCGAGTTATTAACCTTCGATTTCAACTTAAATATTGTTTTGATTTTACGTGGCAATCGCAAAAGAGAAATTCTTTAACACACACAAAAGTAGGGTACCTACTAACTACTAACTACTAACTAACTAACTACTACTACTACTAACTAAAGTAGGGTAACTACTAATGATTAAGCTATTTTTCGGAAATTACTAAGTGGTTTTAATTTATTTCACTTAGTTAGTCGTCAGTTTAGGCTTATTGAAATATTGTTATATTTTTATCGCTGGTTACATTGTTAGGTCTATATCTACTAAGCTATTGTGCCATGAATGCATATAAGCTTTAAGAGGAAATAAGAACCCTGATGTACTAAGTTTAATAACTAGTAAGGATAGAGGAGGACTTATACAACCCTCCGAAAGCGTAGTAAAAATATGTGGGTTTTGCGAAAATTCGTTTCGCAGTAAGTTTAAGTTGCTTGATGAGAACATTAGTGTAAAGGAAAACAATGTAATTGAGGTCCTAACGAACAAAGTACTTGGACAATGTGTAGGAGTAAATTTGTTCCCAAATAGTACACATTTCTCATGATATGAAATAGACAACAATCATTTTTGTTTAGTAATTAAAATGATTGCTCAAAAATATTTCAATGTTAGAGTTCGCTACTACTTTAAAATAAGTAACGAAAGTCTTCACAAAAATAAAGTCAGGGAACATCTCAATAAAACTGCAGTTTTTCTGGGACAATAAATTGAGTGTAATTTTACAAATATTTGGGAAGTTCTTTTTAACTTAAATAATTATTATTAGTTTATCGTGGATGATATTGAAAGCAAATTAGTCCTTAAAAATCTGTGCTAAACGATTGAGAATTCTTCATAGACAATATGTTTGAAAATGTCTTTAATATATACAATATTACAGTACAACAGTATAAATAAAACATTAAAACACTGCACGCTACATTTATAGACGACGGCCCGGCGGGGCAGCGGGCGTGACGCGGAGCAGCGGCAATGGACCCCTTTTGTACCTGATATTTTTAGAAAACCAAGCACGATAAAATTTTTTGGTGAATCGGATAATTAAATTTGGTTATTTATCCACAACTTTCCCGCTGACGAAATTACTCTGACCAAAAAATAAAAAATTTCCTCGCAATACAACTTTTTCATGTCTGAATGTGAAAAATTAAACTACATAAGTAATACAAATATTTATAAATCAATTACTATCATACCTAATAATTTTATATCAACACCATCGTTATCCTCATTATCAGATCTACAAGTGTGCAAAATTTTAGAATTTTTTGTCAACTATTAATGTTGTTTATGATCGTGTATTTGTCGCGGGGTTTTTAATGCGAACTGTGCTCGCGGATCTTGGATTCAGGCTGTATGACGGACCAAGATGGCGGATTTGGCCACACTTTCAGTGCATTTGGTTGGACACGCCGTGTCCTCTCTATTATTATTATTATTATGTGCTCGCTGCCGTGCATAGCCGAACTGTTCGTGGGTGTGGGGTGGGAAATTGTTAGCTCTATCACTGTAGCTGTCAAAACGTGTCGTTTGTAGGTTAAATTTAAATTAATTTAACTGTCATAACCTAACCATACTTGCTGATAATGAATATTTCGAGGTTTACTAATAACAAAAATAGTTCTTTTCGTAAAATAAAATTATAAATGTCTCAAAATCAATTATATAATTTTTTTTACTATAAAATTAAACTATCATAAGCTAACCAAACCAACCAAACTTGCTGATAATGAAACAAATTCGAGTCAAAAAAGTTAATGCCTCCAGTGGGTTTTGAACCGGTTACCTCCTAATCATCAGCCCGGTGCGCGATCCACTACACCACCGAGACCTGCGGCTGTTTAACGTATCGTTGCGGTAATGGTGTTCGCTCGAGCAGTAGTGGGTGGTGGTGGGCGGTGGCGGTCTGTCGGCGAGGGTTAATCACAAGACCAGAACAGAAACAGAAAACAAACAGAATGAGAACATCCGCTAATAGCGAGCCTTTCATTGCAGGAAAATGCCATCCTACTGCGCGTGCGCTTGTAGCTGTCGTGTAGCAGCTGCAGCACGCTGCAGCCACCAGCAGCTAGGTGAAGGTGAGCGGTGAGCACTTTTTCGTCTTGCGATTTCGCGACTATTGTTAGTCGTTCATTATTATCTATCGAACCACGACATTATACTATCGTAGGATGTAATTGTAGTTGTCGTTTGTCACCAGCGACCACAGAATTAAAATACCCCCGCCGCAGCAAACCTGCCGACTAAGCGAATTTCCATTTGTCTGAATTGATTTTCAGTTAAACATATTTTAATAACATTAGGTTTAAAGAGTACCTAGGTTTGCTGCTACAAGGAAACTAATAAAGTGTGTTTTTGAGTAAAATATCGATAGCTTAGTACAAAATAAATAAATTTGCCAAGTTTTATCAAAATATATCCATAAACAAGCAAACTACAACATTTGACAATATTCTCCATAAGAATAACATGGGAATTTTAAATTTACAATTTTTTTAATTTTCTCCGTTACTAATAATTGAACAAAAATACTTTTATATACTAAATTATTTGTCTTTTTAAGCTCTTTAAAAAGCTCTAAAGAGAAATCGGGAAATTTTGTGTTTTGTGGGTCAAAAGTGATAAAAACCAATTTTTACCCCATAAAACCCCCCGTAAAGCCCCGTTCCCATGGTCCGATCGTGCTGGTTTGCGAACTCATTCAAGTTTATCCCGCTTTACACCTTTAAACCAAATTTCATCAAAATCGGACAAAAATTACTCAAGTTATCGCGTTCACGGAGGTATCTAACTAAATATACAGCCCGATGTGTAACTCACTCACTCACTCACTGATCAGGTATACTAATGTTTACCCACTTCTAGAATAGCTAGAGATCAGAAATTTTGTACAATTATAGGTATTGGTTCTAAACCACACAGAAAATTGCCAAAACTGACATTTTAAAATTTTAACCCCCCCAAAAAAAATCAAAATGGCGGATTTTTTTAAAGTACGAAAAAGGCGTTTTTTCAAAACGTCTATTGTGCTTAAACCGTTGATCTAATCAAAAAACGGAGCACACTAACTGTATTTAGAATTAAACTAGCTACAATTTTATAACATAAAGTTTCTTTCTATCTCCGCCCCTTCCCCCCTATATTTCGCTCTAAACACAAAGTTTTGGAATTTTTCATAATGTTTTTTTTGTTCAAACATCCGTTGCGGCTCAACCGTAGGTCTGATCAAGAAACGGATAGCACCGACTCAACTTAACTTTTGACGTTCTACAACTTTGTAACTTAACATTTTTTTCCATCTTCACTCCTTCACCCCCAAATTCATGCTTAAACTTGAAATTTTGCCATTTTTCCTTGTTTTTTGGGGGGGTTGGCTGCCCTGGAGTGGGTTAAAATCCGTTTTGGGTATGTTTGACACATTATTTGTTTTTTAATATGCCTAAAGTTCATCCTTAACCGATTTTGGAATTTCCCTTCACCCTACTTAACCCTGAAAATTGGGGGGATAATTTAAGTAAAAATAAAAAATCCCGATTTTGAAGATTCTCGTTAATTAAAAATTATATAATCGCAAGATTATATCTAAACAAACAATTGTTTTATATACAAAATTTTATGGTGTACATTTTGTTGTATGGCGCCTTTTACCTATCTATACTCCAACCCCCTCAAAAAACCCCATTTCGATAGTTGTGTCCTTGGAATTTAGGAATAAGCCTACTTACAAACA